GTTTCGTATGAAATTAGAATGTGTAGATAAAAAATTATGCATATTTTATTGGCACCAGATGACACTGTAATGGTTATCGTTATGGTGACGTTCATCTTTTCACAACTTTATTAAAGGGAAAAATAAAGAAGAAGAAGAAGAAGAAGAAGAAGAAGAAAGAAGCCACCAAGAAACAGCTCATCATATATTAGTCCAGGGTTCCTTGGAGTGGAACGAAGACATTTTCTAGGATTGGTCTTGATTGTATAATTTTCGACTGGAGGCACCCATACAACTCATAATTCCACTCCCCCACGTCTTCTACCTCGATTGACCATCAAAACGCGGACCTTTAGTCATCCGCTTACCCCACGCCCCCATCAACTTTCCCAAAACACCCTTTCCCCGCCACAAAATTCCGTCAATCTCCCTACCTTCTAGAGAACTTGCCTTCTAAGAAATCGAATCTTTCCCCCACCCCAGATAAAACCACCACATCCCCCAAACCAAAAAACCAGAAAGGAGAAGGCGAGAAGGGCTGAAATCTAGAGAGAGAGAGAGAGAAGGGGGGAATCTAGAGAGAGAAAGTGAAACAGAAGATGGGTGGGGGAAAGAAGAGGTGGTTGTTCTTTAGAAGGATGAAGAAAGAGTCGTGGAGTTTGAGGTGGAAGTATCTGGGGTCTGCCTTCAAGTTCCGGCCGCTGAATCTGCAGCTTTCCTTTTACGATGATGTGGTTTTCAAGATCGTGGCGGCATTCGAGGCCGTGGTTTTGCTGCTCAGAATCTGTTTCTTCTACTTGTTTTGCGGATGCCATTTTTGAGAGGATTTTCTTCCGACTCTCCTTGTACTTGGTTTTCTATGTTGCTTCAAGAAGGGTATAGTTGACAGATAAGTTGCTTGCCAAATGGATTAGGGTTTTTTTTCTTCTGGGGAGGATATTGGTTCTGTCATGTTGGCGTTCCTAATATGCTTATTATGTTCTTGTACAAAGTTAATGATCAGTTAACTTTCTTTTTTTTTCATGAATTCTGACTTCTTTTTCTGCAATTTAATTCAGGAAATTGGTTTTGTCATTCTGCAAAGTTACTTTGAATTGTATATATTTAATGTCATTGCCTAAGCCACTAGAGAAATTCTTGACTGTGGATGGCGGTGCCACTTTATTAATCTACAGATATCCATTTATTATTGGCATAGAACGTCACTCGAATTACTTTGTTATATGTTAGAATTTTTTATTTATATTATGAAGGAAAAGATTAAACACAGGACTTCATATGTAAAGTTAAACCCTTTTAATTCTTTGAACTACAAGCCGCCTGCCCCATTCTAGTTTGGAACAGAAGGAATCTTCCAAAGCCAAATTAGCAAACCAAGAGTCTTATAAATTTTAGGATAAATTAGATAAAACTACTTCAACTATTGGATTATTAACAGTTTCATATCTCGTTTGTAAAAAGTTTCAATGTCATACTTCATTTACAAATTTTTTACAATTTTATACCTTCCGTTGAATTTCTGTTAATTATTTCTTTAAATAGTGACGTGGCATGAGATGAAATTCATTATCTATTAAAAAATTAATTAATTAAATATTAAAAAAATAAAATGAAATCTTTATTTTTTTGCCATGGGACCCACCCCTTCCCTCACCCTTTCTTCCCCCGCCCCACTTTATCCCACCCAAAACCCAGATCCCTTCCCTTTCCCCTTATCTGCAACCCCCGACCCCTTCCCCACCCACGCCAACATCTTCCCCCCCCCGCCGACCCACCTCCTCATTCTCTGCCGCCCACCCCTCTCCCCGACTCGTGCCTTTTCTGGTGATGGGCGTTCTGGGCATTTGGGTTTCGGTGGTTGAGGAAGAAATCGTACTCCAATCTCTATGCTTCGGTCTCGGGCGGCTCCGTCTCTATATCGTTTTCGTCCGAATGTTCCGGGTCGAGATGGTGGGGCGATTTTTGGTGTTGGCGGGATTGGGATTGAGTTTTTTGGCGTTGGTCGAAGAACTCGGAATCCGGCGGTGACGGAGGTTAGAAAATTTTCCAGTTCCACATGGAAGAGGCTTGCGCAGGTGTTGGTGAAAGGCGGGGGCGGAGGAGAAAGAGAGGATGTGGGGAAGGTTGGAGCTGTTGGTGTGGGTGGGGAAGGGGTCGGGGGAGGAGGTGGTGGCGTGGGTGGGGTGAGGAAGGGATCTGGGTTTTGGGTGGGATAAGGGGAGTGGGGGAAGAAAGGGTGAGGGAAGGGGTGGGTCCCCATGCCAAAAAAAAAAAGATTCATTTTTTTTATTTTTTTAATATTTAATTAATCAAATTCTTAATAGATAATGAGTCTCATCTCATGCCACGTCACTATTTAACGGAATAATTGACAGAAATTTAACGGAATATATGAAATTGTAAAAAGTTTATAGATGAGGTATGACACTGAAACTTTTTAAAGACGATGTATGAAACTGTTAATGACTCAATAATTGAGGTAGTTTTATGTAATTTATCATAAATTTTATCTTGGAAGATCGAAGGGTATTATATGTAATTTTACATTTCACGTGTCATAAGGATAAGGGATAGAAATATAGGAAAGTTAATGAAAAGAGTTTGAAAATTTTGAGTTTTAACGAAAATAATAAAATAAAGGGTAAAATAAATAGTACCATGATTGACTTTTTAATATAAAAATGTGACTTTCGTTAAATTAAATAATACTGAAAGATTTTCATTAAAGTTCCTATAAATATTGGAGTGTCACCTTCTCCTCCACTTTTTTATGGTAATTTTCCCAGTCAACTTGGTATCTTCTCGGGGCTCCACCTATCGTTCAAAGACAAATGTTATATTTACCACATCTTTGCATCATATTTCTACTAGAGGTAATTGTTAATTCTCCCTCTACTTCAAATGTTGCAGATCTATAAGAAAGAGGTGTTTCACTTCATTGGTTTGTATATTAGCAATTTTTATATATTTGTAGTTTGTAACTGTATGACAGGATTACAAATAGTAAAGAATTCACTAAATCTCACTGGCTTTAATTCTTTGTTGTTTTATCATTTCTGTGTGAGATTCTATCTAATTATTTACAATTTCTGCATTCTTATTTATGTGCTTATAACAACCATTTATTGATTATTATTTTTCTTGCAGTTCCAAGCTTTTGATTCGTTAAGGCCAACTCTCTCGATCTCCCTCTTTATCCTGCTTTATTTCAATTTCTTGGTATGCAATATTTCTTTGCCTGGATTTTTTATAATATTATTTACTAGTATTATATTTTCTTCTTCTATATATATATATATATATAAATCCAAAAGACAAAAAATTTAAAATAACCATAATCCAAAAATACTCTTATTTGATTCAGATTTTAAGAAAAAATATTTCAATTTGTAGTCTTCTAGCAAAACAAAACTACCATATAAAAAGGAAAAAACATGGGTTTAGAGGTTTTTTTTTTTTTTTTTTTTTAAATTGGTAGAAGGGGAAGAGGGAAGAGGGAAGAGGGAAGATGCAAATGGTGGAGAAGGAAGAGAAATAGGGAAGGAAGGCTAGAAAGAGGGGGAGTCAGGCTGCCGTCGACCCCAAGCCAGAATAAGGAGCGTCGGCTAGGAGCGTTTCTTTTAGCTTGAAGGCAGAGGGGAGGAAAGGTTAGAGAGAGGAGATAAAACGCGTTTGAGTTTGAGGAATTGTTAATTCATGCATTGGGAGTAATGTGTTAGCTGGTGGAGGTTGAATTGCCTTAGGTCTCATCTGGTGACTGACTCTGAAGTTAGTTGAGTGCATCAGATCCAAGAGGGGATATAATTCTTGGATAATGCTAAGGAGATTAAATTTTTAGATAAAATTGTGTAAACTAAATGACATACATTGATGATTGGATTATTATTTAAATATTGATAAATGTGCTCATTTTTATTGGTGACACATCTGTCACATCCCAACCCTCAGCTCCAGTGATATTGTCCGCTTTGGCATTCTCTACCCGCAGACAGAGCTACCGCACGGTTTTGTTTCTGCGAACCGGTACTCAGCCGTAGCCAGCGCCTGCCCTCCCCTCAGGGAGTCCGCAAAAGGCCTCACTGAAACTTAAGGTTGGCAATGGATATATAAGGCCCAAAGACCACGCCCTCACGGGCGATGTGGGATACTACAATCCACCCCCCTTAGGGAGCCCGACGTCCTCGTCGGCACACCACGACCGTGAGTCTGGCTCTGATACCAAATTGTCACATCCCAACCCTCAGCTACACATCACTTAATTTGCAAAATTTGTTTATAAATTTAGTCTCTATAGCATTACCCATAATTCTTGGGTTATCTTGGGAAGGTAATTCTCTAGCTAGTGTGGATAAGAAAACATACTACTTTTGAATTATTTTTTTTTAATGAGATATAACATTGAGTGAAACAAAATATTTAATAGTGGGATTAAAAATAAAATATTTAATTGTACAGTTGAATGCTATTAAAAATAAAATATTTAATTGTACAGTTGAATGCTAAGTAGCCTTGAAGCGGAACTCGGTTTGTTGTTTGTTATTGGTACCTTTGTGCCAATACAATCCCTAAAATATGTAGACTTTTCAACCAAAATGATAACTGAGATTGAACTAATTTCTCACATTGGTTCTTAACACTGAAAATTTATAGAAATGGTCTTATGAGTTTGTTCATCGTAAATCATTTAGTCATTCTATGAAAAAACTGTCATTATCCTCGTTAAGTGAAGATATTGATTTAACAAAAATACTCTTAAAAAAGTAGTCACGTGATTGTTCACATGACAATTTAACGAGAATATTAACAAATTTTTTACGGAATAACTAAAATAAATTGTAGCGGACAAATTTAAAAATCACTTCCATCGATTTTTCAAGGTTAAAAAGTCAAATAAGCATAAATAATTACATAGCATGGTATTTATGTTGAGGTGGCAGCCAAATTATCTTCTTCTGAAACATTTTATCTGCCACTGCCAAACCTCTCTTATCCGTTTCCCTCCAACTTCTACCCCCTGAAAACCTACAGCCAGAGTAGAGATGCAGGCCTCAATCTGCCCACAAACTTCACCACCCTCTCTATCCAGTTTCAGACCTACCCACCACAACCCTCTTCTGGGTAACTCTCTGCCTTCAAGGCCATGTTTGGCTCTCAAAAAAAGAGCCACTTTAACCACAAAAGCACTTCTGTCAGCTACCAAGGAATCAGTCCTCAGGGACTTTCATGAACGCAGAGCTCTCAAGGTAAAGCGAATCCTACTTCCCGTTGACATTATTATTGTGTTTTGCTTTGTTTGGTTGCTGGGAAAACGTGGAGAAGCTAAAAAGAAAAATACTTATTGGTTCTGCAATTTAATAACCATGCCTTGATATCCAAGAATTCTGATGTAAGTTGTAACTGTGTTTTTTCAGATTATTTCAGGATTGCAGAATTTTGACAAAGAAAATGTTGCATCAGTCATTACTGCCGCTGAGCAGGTTTGTTTCTTACTCCGTTTATAGATGAAGTTATGAACTAATGATGAACTCGCTAAACAAAAACAGATTATGTTTTTGAACCAAGGGATCTGAATATGTTAGAGCACATTGCTTGTGGTGTCAAATTTCATCGAATTTCCGAGCAAATGTTGAATTTTTTATGTCATGTTGTCATGTGTCGTTGCATCTATAGGGAGGAGCAACTCATGTGGATATAGCCTGTGACCCGGAGTTGGTGAAGCTTGCTATCGATTTAACTTCTCTTCCGGTATATTCATATGCTTTCTAAGCGTATCGTGATCATCATTTTCCAACCGTAGTTTGCATGTATAAGGATGTCTTCCTTGTGCAGGTTTGTGTTTCTTCTGTAGATCCAGCGGCATTTCCAGCTGCCGTTGAAGCAGGTGCACTGATGGTTCGACTACAAACTAACCCCTTTCGTACTACACATTTCAGGCCAAAAATTTGATTCTGTGACCTGGTTCCCTTCGAGGGAATGCTAAATCGTTTCAGAACAATATTGCTATGTGCTTTTCGGTTTGTGTTGATATGATAAATTTGATGGCTTTTGCAGGTTGAGATTGGAAACTACGACTCCTTTTACGAGATGGGAGTGGTTTTCACTTCGGAGCAGGTGGTACCACATTTGTTACCTTGCAAATTACGAAAAACATAGCGCTATAAGTGTACTAATCGGATTCTCTTGTTGTATTCTGTTGAGTTCCTTTGCAGATATTGAATCTGACAAAGGAGACCAAGAGGATTCTTCCGTCTGTGACCTTATCAGTCACTGTACCTCATACACTAAGCCTTCCAGATCAGGTTGGAATCATTGCTGAAAGTGACTATCGATGTGTGTTGGCACGATGTATTTGGTTTAACCAAGCTAGTTGAATCAATGTACAGGTCAAGCTTGCAGAGATGCTGGAGCAGGAAGGTGTTGACATCATTCAAACCGAAGGAGGAAAATGTACTAGTCCTTCGAAATCAGGTGTTCTTGGTTTGGTCGAGAAGGTAACACGAATTAACCTACACATACCTTAACTGTTACGAGTTATCCAAACTAATCTTAGGCTCTAGACGAGCCTGAGTAGACAAACGAAAAAGAAACCAAGAGCTTGGAATTGGATTCTTGCCTAGAGCGTGTTTGGGATTGAACACATGCAACCAGTTTTATTTCAACAGACACATTTGATGATAGTATTTCATGTTTTAGGCAACACCAACATTGGCAGCAGCATATTCGATATCCCGTGCTGTCAAGATTCCGGTAATGTGTTCATCCGGACTGAGTGCAGTTACAGCCCCAATGGCAATAGCAGCAGGAGCTGCCGGTGTGGTATGTAAACGATGAACCTGCTTCTGTAATGATGCACATTTCATCAAAAGCTTATTTGTTGAAATACCCTCTCAAAATAAGCGTACTTCCCGTCTCACTTTGCCCCACCGTCCAAATCCGTCAACACTGAAGTATGTTGTCTAGCTATTTTTGTGTGGTTAACTTACTGGTTGTTTCATCATTTTTGGACACAGGGCGTCGGCTCAGCCGTGAACAAGCTCAATGATGTTGTTGCAATGATTGCAGAAGTGAGGAGTATTTCCAATTCATTAGGAGCTTCAGCTGGTAGGCTCACTGCAACTGAAGAACAAGTTTTGAAACTGTAATCCAGTAATCGTATAGTGCAGCAATATACATACATTGTTGGCAACAATATCCAAATAAATAAGAGCAGCAGTTTTCTTTCAGATTTCTAGGTTCTGTTTTCCTTGGCAGCATAAACTGAACTTCACACAACAAGAACGATTTGGACCCGAGCATCTGGTGCAAGAACATCTTTCGTTCAACCAGATTGCCCTTGACGATTCTTATTCTGCGCAAGAATTGAAAGAAGTTCTCGCCAACTACACTAACAAATCAAAAGAATGAGAGGAAAAGAAGTTATATATTCTCGAAAACTGTTAGGAATCAAGAACATGACTCGACAATGAGTGTATTCGATACAATTGCCCGGTGACAGCTAAAACTAGAAGTTCCTAGTAAGGTTTAGACTTGTCATCTTCCACTAAATAAAGTACATACCCAACTGTTAAAATCTGAATTCACTACTAAATTCGAATTGTGAACAGATATGGACAAGAATGATACAGGCATAGACAGTTTTACAAAAGACACATGACCAGGACCTATGACTTGCATACAACTAGAGTACGTCCACCATATGGAAACATGATTTCTTAGACAGACCAATCTTCCTCTTCCTCATCCTCGGTTTCTTCATCCTCGCCACTTTCCTGCAAATGTTCGAAATCTGCTTAGTAAATTGCAATTCAGCACCACTCGGCATTGCTTGTAAGATAAGGTTCTGCTTATCAACTATAAAGATCATTCAAAGCATGTTTACCTTTCTTTGTGCATATTCTGCCATGGCCTTCTCAAACTCAGCTCGTTTCTCTGTGGCTATATCATAATACTGAACCTTTTCCTAATATAAGAAGTCAGAGAGAGAAAAAAACGAAGAACAAAATTCTATAAGCTATTTTTAATCACCATGGTTAGGGAAACTCGTAAACAGTCAAAAAACTAAAATACTATTTGATGCTTCATGTCACTAGATGATCAACAAGTAAAATAGTCTAAATGGTGAGAACCACACACAGTCATTAGGAAAGAACCGTTGCATGATTCAGCCAGTATCACTTAGCTGTAAATCTCATGAACCCAAGGCGGGTCAGTATTTAAGCGAGATGAGATCCACTATAATAATTAGCTTAAGTAAAAAAAGACAACTACATACACATCAAACAAGTCCATACAGGTGAATGGGTCATATATTTTAACCAAAACTATAGGTCAGAACATTAGGTTAAATAGAACCCACGATTTGAAAGTCATACTTCATCCGGTCTTCAATACAAAACTTTAGAGAAAGTAAAGCAAAAATATAATGAAAACATAAAAGGCCAACTAAAGTATAAAGAGACACAAACCTCATATGTCATTGTTTTCCACTTCTCTCCACACACCTTTCCAATCTGAATGAGAAAGTGGTGCATATTCATATACAAGAGAACTGATGGTATGAGCAACAATGAAAAACATGCAAAAAGTTAAACGGATTACCGTATCATAAACTTACTTCGCGCATTTGCTTGATACCTGGATTTTGCTCTTGAAGTTCCTTACGATAATCCTCCCTTAAACACAAGAAAAACCAGTTTAAGTCAGTAAAACCTCAAGAGGTTTATGGTTGGTTCTTCATATATGAGAAAGGTGCTCAGAGTGAGTTTGATAAATAGCGTTCTCATTGAGGCATTATAAATTATAATTAATCACAAAAAAAATAAAGAACGTCATAACAAAAGAACAATCAAGAACCAGCTTTGGTTAATCTGACCTTACACTGACAAAATAACTGTAGTGAGAGGTAAGGGAAATTCAATTTAAAAACAAAGAAACTGTGGATTTATTTTTTCAGATTGAAGTACCAATGAAAATACAACAAAGTAAAATAATACTGAACAAGAATGAGGGGACTAATACTTAGAAAACTTCACCAAAAAATTTCTATGGAAAGTTACAACTAGTGAATTTCAGAAATCGACCGAAACCTTGTAGATTTGATAAATAACTTAATATCAATTTTCATCATCAGTCGTGATTATGGTTCTGGTCATAGTATTCATATTATGGATAGTTGAGAGATCTTCAGTTTCTATATCTTTCTTTATTAGAGGGGACAAATTCCAAATTTAAGGCCATTGGGTGATTGAGGTTGGTCAGTCTCATTATCTGGATACTCAATTTCAGCGATCCAAAAGGATGACGTGTTCTTATAGGACTAAGACAATCAAACAACAAAGTCATTGAACAAGTTGGAAATTTAATCAATTACAGCAAGTTGACAATCAAACAACATGTATAATAAACATAAATGAAAAGCTAAACAGGAACGAAAAGAGGTACATACAGGAAATAGAAGAAAGCAGTTGGCGGTTTCTTGGGTATCTTGGAATCAACTTTTGCACTTTTCTTCTTCTGCTTGGTTTTGGACTTCTTTAGTGAAACGATTCTCTTTCCCTCCGCATTTATGCTGCTTAACCTTGTTGACCTCCTTGTCCCCTCCCTTTGTTGGACCTTCAACACCATTTCCCTAAAAAGATTGAAGAATTTCTTTCAATGAGCACTGATGCCTCGGCCAGGAATAAAAGGAATGAAACAACAAATTCAACCGCCAATGTCACACCATCAAAAGCACAACAGAACTAAAAACCCTCCATCGAGTCCAGGCCTCACACGATCACTAAACATTTTCTTGAAAGTGAAACTCAGAGCCACACAACCCATAACCCTGAAAAGCTCCTTCCCTTCCTAGTTCTTCTATTTCCTCTTTTTCTTTCCTATCACCCAATTCCTCAGCAAGCAGCCTGAGAGTAAGTATACACTGTATACGCTAAGCATTGCTCGAAATTCAAAGGGTACAAAGCTAAAGAATAACCGAACGAAATTAGAAGCAATAAAATCACCAATTTCTCAAATTTAAACTAACTGAACAAACCCCACCACCCAACTGAGCTTAACCTAGCTTCTTGTCCAAGACTCCAAGTACTGAGTTCTCCACATTATTCAACACAAAACAACACAACGCAATCAACAAAATAGCAGAAAGTAACGATCTTTGCCTTCCTTTTCCATTTTTTTTATTTTATCATTTCATGGGTTTTTTCAAAAACCCAACAAAAATTCAGAAAGCATTGAACGAACAGTGATGAACATGTGGTGAGAAAAGAGATAGAGTAGAGGAAAAGTACCCAGTTGAAGCTTTTGTGGCGGAGGAAGAAGACGAGGGAGACTGCTGCGAGTTGCTAGTTTTCTTTGCCATGTTTCTTCGCTTCGGGCCTTTTGGCGTCGGCCGTGGAATCGGGTCGGGTGAGTGGGTTGGTGTGGGAAGTGGGCAGGCACAGTGACGACTGATGATTAGACCGTGGCGAGCACTCTGAGAAGACCACGACGTTTTGGTGGGTACGGTGGGTGATGTGACGGCTTAACGAGTGAATCTCGCCAGGAAGTTGGGCTGTGTGGTTAAATCAGGCCCAAGGTAACTAGGCTGGGCCCAATTTCCACCGTCATCGTCATGCATTAAAATCACAATAAAACAAAAATTAAAAATCACGGAAATGTAGTATTTTTTAAACAAACGATATTATTATTATTATTATTTTATAAATTAGAGATATGTTAGGTTTATAGGTGAGGTTTTTTTAAAAAAAAACAAGATTTGATTGTGTGAAATTACATTTATACCTCATATTTCTTATTTATGTTCTATTTTAATTAAATGATTAAACTGGTAATTTTATAAGATTTTGGTTGACAATAAATGTTTTATTAATTAATAGTGATACTTAGGTTTAGAAGTCAGATTGACTTAATTTTAAAACAATATCCCTGTTATGAAAAACTAAAAATAATATCCAAGAAATAAAACAGTCTTCTAATATAATTTCATAAAATACCAATTTTCTTGAAGAACTTTGTATGTATGCCTTCTTTTTTACATATTTATGATGAACTAAATATGTTTGATACATTTGACTGATTAAACGATCCTCAATTGAATGATTTTATTTTTATCAGAATAATCTTCAAATTCTTGATGTTCCGATTATTGAATTTATTCGATTAAGATATTTTATTCACAAATGAAAAAAATATGTGACAATGAACCCGGATCCTCGACGTGAGGATCCTAGGAATTCGTCAATCATGTCTGTTTATCGTACATTGTGCTGTCAGAAATTATTTAAATAGTTTAATTTAAAATTAAACACAAATAATACTTGATAAAAACTAATCGTACGATATACAATTAAAGAACACAATTCACGGATTTTCAAATCCTCACCAAAATGATCAGGAGAGGATCCTGTTGGCAATGTGAGGATGCCAGGTACAAAAGTGTCAAGATATCTGTTGAAGTTTGACTAGGAAATACATGAAAAAAATAAAATAGAAAGAAAATCTCAGTTGTTGAAGGCTTGAAGCTGCAGCTCTTCATCTCTTACGCACAGTGACGTGGCATCACACTGGACAATAGAGAGCAGCTCAAAAGTTGAACCAAACCAAAATTCTCCTTCTTCAAGTAACTCACATCGTTGGCGTCGCCACCCACTCTCTCTCTCTCATCACTCACTTTGTCTCTCATCGCCATGCAGTCCCTCCAATCCTCCACTCTCCGGCCCGCTCCGCTCGACCAGATTCGGAAACGGACCCCCCATTTCCCCAATGTCACTACCAGAACAGCCAGCTCCTCCAGGCGAATCTCATTCATATCCGCCTCCTCCGCCGTGTCCGCCCCTAAGCGCGAGATGGACCCGAAGAAGCGGGTTGTCATCACCGGAATGGGTCTCGTCTCCGTCTTCGGCAACGACGTCAATACTTACTACGACAAGCTCCTCGCCGGAGAGAGCGGTGTGGGTCCAATTGACCGGTTTGATGCGTCCAAGTTTCCGACCCGGTTCGGGGGCCAGATCCGCGGGTTCTCATCGGAGGGGTACATTGATGGGAAGAACGATCGACGGCTCGACGATTGCCTTCGGTACTCGATTGTTGCTGGGAAGAAAGCTCTCGAGGATGCTGATCTTGGCGCCGATCAGCGCTCAAAGGTCATTGCTTTCTTTCATTTGCATGTGTTTAATGGTTTCTGTATATTAATTAGCTTAATGGGGTTTTGCAAAATGTGTTAATTTGCTGATTTGGTTCTTTCTTAGATAGGTAAGCGCTCCAAGGTCATTGCTTTTTTTGATGTGCATGTGTTTAATTGTTCAATTATGCTCATTAGCTTGATGGGTTTTCGGTATAATGTGTACCGATAAGTGCTCCTAGGTCATTGCTTCCTTTGATTTGAAAGCAATTGTTTAATTATGCTCGTTAGCTTGATGGGTTTTTAACAGAATGTGCTAATTTGCCGATTTGAACAATTTGGTTATTTCTGAGATTGATTTGATGCAGATTTGTGTGTAAGAGTAATGGGTTCTGTTAGAAACTATGGATCTGGGATTTCATCGTTTGCTTATTTTGGGACGTGCATGGAAGAATTGTTAACATGTGCGGAGTGTATAATTTGGTTTGGTTGTGTTAGGATTTGTTTTTCTGTGTTCTGATTAGTGTAAATGAGTGTCTAAAATGGTTGGTTTTGCTTCACTTACAGCTTGATAAATCGCGGACTGGGGTGCTTGTTGGATCTGGAATGGGTGGTCTTACTGTCTTTTCTGATGGTGTTCATGCACTGATAGAGAAAGGTCACAGGAAAATTACCCCCTTTTTCATTCCTTATGCTATTACAAACATGGGGTCTGCCTTGCTTGCTATTGATCTGGGTTTTATGGGACCCAATTATTCCATTTCGACTGCTTGTGCTACTTCAAATTATTGCTTCTATGCTGCTGCAAATCACATTCGTCGGGGTGAAGCTGATTTGATGATTGCTGGCGGAACTGAAGCTGCCATAATTCCTGTTGGGGTGGGAGGGTTTGTTGCTTGCAGGGCCTTGTCTCAGAGAAATGATGATCCAAAAACGGCTTCCAGGCCATGGGACAGAGATAGAGATGGCTTTGTTATGGGTGAAGGTGCTGGAGTATTGGTAAGCCTGCGTTGATTTTAATTTTGAAACAAAATGGTCATATAATCTAATTTTTAGTAGACAGAACGCTACAAAATTCTATCTCAGCTAATCATGAATTCACGATGACTGAAGTGTTGAATGTATACACTGCAGTTGACCCAGTTTTTGTCTTATGATTTTAATCATAACATAAGAAGGGTATTTGTTTTGACAGGTAATGGAGAGCTTGGAACATGCAACAAAACGAGGTGCTACAATTATTGCCGAGTACTTGGGAGGTGGTATTAACTGTGATGCTTATCATATGACTGATCCAAGAGCTGATGGGCTTGGTGTATCTACATGCATACAGAGATGCCTTGAAGATGCTGGTGTATCACCTGAGGAGGTACTCTCTCTTTTCCGTAAACCGTTCTTGTGTTATAGACTTATAGTGATTGTTCCTCATCATCATTTAGTGAACACCCTCACTTTATCAGGTTAACTACATCAATGCGCATGCAACTTCTACCCTTGCTGGTGACCTTGCCGAGATAAATGCTATAAAGAAGGTGTTCACGAACACTAAAGATATCAAGATCAACGCAACTAAGGCAATCTCTATTCTCTGATCCTCTGTCTCTTTATAATTCATATGATGTTTCTTTCCTGACTTCTTATTTCTTGCCTTTACTTTGTCTCAGTCTATGATAGGCCACTGTCTTGGTGCTTCTGGGGGTTTGGAAGCTATTGCTGTCATTAAAGCCATAACAACTGGATGGCTGCATCCTTCCATAAACCAATTTGTATGTTATTGTTGCTATGATTTTGGACTTGGTTTCTCCAGCATAGCGTTAGTTTGATTTCTCGTATTTGAAACATTATAGTAATGGTTTCCGATGTGTGGCATGTCTTTCATGAAACAGAACCCAGAGCCTTCAGTGGAGTTTGACACTGTTCCCAATGTAAAGCAGCAGCATGAAGTGAATGTTGGTAAGAAGGCCAAACCTTGAAACTCCCAGTGCTTTTACATTTCCAATTGCTCAAATACCGTTCAAATAAACTTTCGCGTGTTTTTTCAGCCATATCGAATTCATTTGGATTTGGTGGACATAACTCTGTCGTGGCCTTCTCTGCGTTCAAGCCCTGATCATCCGACTTGCGTTCAAGTTTTGTAGTACATCAACGATGCTTAGAGGAGATCATAATTTATTTCGGAGGCAAGCTTCATCCGCTTACATTTGAGTCCATTTGTAGTTTTGTAATGATTCAGAAATGTTCTTTTTTATTATTTTTGGACGCAAGTCGTATTTAGATGCCTGGTTCCGTGAGGAAACTAGAATGTTATGTTTTTTTACTTTCTTCAAATTATCTGATGGTTAGTATGAAGTGTGGCTAATATAGATAGAGGAGATGCATACGCGTGGGTGTAGCCAAGTTTCGCTCAATTTGTTAGAGCAGTGCGCTCTCCCCTGCGCATCCAAATTTGAAAGTCAAATTGTCCTCCCGTTACCATATCATGAAGACTTATGCGTGGATTTGCCTCTCTTTGCATATTTTGTATTAGCAGCTTGTGTGTAACAAAACCTTCAAGTTGGTTGAGGACAATTTTGAGTTCGAGAAATTTGGGTTGGTTGCTTGTCACATGGACTTCTACCCACAAGTAAATCGGTATCTATGTAATCAGAATATTGATGGTATTAATAATATGAATGCTATGTTGATGGTCGATAACGAGTTGATATTTTGATATGTTTGTCGCTATTGGATGGGCAGACGAGCCTATTTTACTCATAATATTGGGCTTTTGCGGTATCATGATCTTCTAGAACTTGAAACTTTTGAATAATCTTTTTCATTCCTTGATTCCCGTCATATTAACAGTATTGTTCTAAAAAATTCCACTTGCCGCCGTCTAGATTCCGCCTAAAAGTTAAACGGCTGGTCATCGCCTCGATTAATGTATATTTGATGGGCATGCGAGCCTATTTCACTCATAATATTGGGCTTTAGCGGTACGTATCATGAACTTCTAGAATTCGAAGCTTTTGAATAATCTTTTTCATTCCTTGATTCCGGCATATTAATAGCACTAGTCTAAAAATTTCTGCCTAGGCGGTAGGCTACCATCCCGATTAATGCCTACGTGTTTGAAAATTAAGAAAGAGTGCATAAAACTGCTGAAGCGCCTACCTAGACCATCTAGGCACCCGCATAAGTTGCAACTCATTTAGACAAAAAATATATAACTTTCATTTTGGATTTTATTTTTTACAATAAATTATTAGGGACTTGTACTTAAATGAACACACATTATATGCTTGTTCCTATGTTTTCATTATGTTTCAATACTTCATAATATATATATATATATCAATAATTTATGATGAAATTATATATATTTTAAATATAAACAAATAATTATATACATGAAATATAATAGATTTATTTAAATATGCTTAGCTCCGCCTAGCCGTCTAGACGCTAGACCCCAGCATGCTGTCCCACTAGCGTCTAGCGTCTTGATTAACAATGAAATGCAATACAGTTTTTATATGAAGATATATTATTATTATTACGCAATCTACCCGAATCATGCGCACGAGAACGAGGAAACTCTTCCTCCGTTGTGCATCGAAAGAGAAATATAATTACTATAATTATTAGTCAGGTAAAAATAAAAATAAAAATATTTTTGAAGAAGAAGAATAAAAATCGACAGTTCTATCGAAAAAAAAAAGAAAAAGGAAAGCGACAGCGTGGCTTAGGACGATGATATTGGCGCCAAAGGAAGGGGAAAGCTCCATCATTTTCCCGCCAAAATAAATAGCCCTAGACTGAAAAAAGGGGATTCGATAGCACTGAGCAGTCGCTCACCATCTCAAACTCTCAATCGCCGTCGTCGCCGATCTTCTCTTCTCTTCTCTGCAGAACACGAGCTTGAAGCGAAATGGACATCAGCGAAGAAGTTAGGGCAAATCACCGCCGAGAGCTCCTTGCTTTCTTGGAAGATGGCGTATGTCCTCCTACTCCTCCTCTTCCTCTCTCTCTCTCTCTCTCTCTCTCTCTCTCTCTCCAACTCTCTTGCTTTCTCTCTCTAACTAGTTAAAGTATTGCGCAGATATACATGGACGAAATCAAGGCCATCCTCAACCACAACCGCCGCCGCCTCATCGTCGACATCTCCGATCTCCACTCCTACGGCGAAATCGGTTCCAGGTTCATTCACTTTTCTCACCAACCAAACTCCTCACTAGCTAGCTTTGCTCAACTTCTACTATCGCCAAATATTTCAGAAGAATCCTAGTTTAATTTTGCCCTCGGTTTTTCAATTTACAGGATTCTGAGAAATCCAAGTGATTATATGCAATCCTTCAACGATGCGGCCACTGAAATCGCCAACAGGATTGACCCCAGGTACCTGAAGCAAGGAGAACAACTTCTGGTGGGGTTTGAAGGGGCTTTCGTCTCGCGCCGTGTCACGCCGAGAGATCTGCTCTCCGAGTACATTGGTTCCATGGTTTGCGTCCAGGGCATTGTCACCAAATGTACCTTCTTCCCCCCCTGCCTTCTACTTTTGCTTTCGTTTCATGCTCGATTTACGTCTCGGAAATGACAATTCTGGATTAAAATTTGAGGAAAAACATAAATAAAAGAAACAATTTTATTGGAAATTTGAGGTTAGTGGTGTTGATTTAGACTAGAAAACCATAAACCCTAAGATTCTTCCTTTGCTTAGTTTTCAGTTCAGCTAATGAAATATATCAATATGTTTTTGTTGGGAATGTTGGCTATGGGTGAGTCTAACCTGGTAACTAACTCATTTGTAGGTTCTCTTGTGAGGCCAAAAGTTGTTAAGAGTGTTCACTTCTGCCCTAGTACCGGAAACTTCACCTCTCGAGAATACCGAGACATTACATCCAATATGGGTTTGCCTACAGGAGCAGTTTATCCTACTAGGGTAATCTCAAGTTTTTCGCTTTAATTGTATCTTATTTTATCGTTGGAGAAGGGACTCTTTATGAAAATATATTGCCACAGGATGAAAATGGTAATTTATTGGTGACTGAGTATGGACTATGCAAATACAAAGATCATCAAACTCTGTCTATGCAAGAAGTTCCTGAGAACTCTGCCCCTGGTCAGCTTCCGCGGACAGTGGATGTTATAGTTGAGGATGACCTCGTTGATTCATGCAAACCAGGAGACCGTGTGGCGATTGTAGGGATTTACAAAGCTCTTCCTGGTAAAAGCAAGGGAAGCGTGAATGGAGTATTCAGGTAGCTTCAACCACGAGGACTGCAAAAGTTCTTATCTTGTTTATCTAAACAATAATGTATTCTAGTTTTATACTTAGACTTAATGGCCTTGTTTGTATAGGACTGTTCTCATAGCGAACAACGTTTCGCTGCTCAACAAAGAAGCAAATGCACCAATTTACAGTCCTGATGACATAAAGAACATAAAAAAGATAGCAGAAAGAAGTGATACATTTGACCTGCTTGGGAATTCAATTGCACCCTCTATTTATGGACATTCATGGATAAAGAAAGCAGTAATATTGCTAATGCTTGGTGGAATGGAAAAGAACTTAAAGAATGGTACTCACTTACGAGGGTAAGTTATGATTCAAAACTTTCCGTTTGATTTTACTGTCCTAATTGTGCTTGTCTATCTGGTCCCTTCTTTTCTAAGGCCCTGCCTTAGTGTTCCTTTAGCATAAAATTGAATCTTGATCAAACAATGTCTTTCTTTTCTTTTAGTGACATTAACATGATGATGGTTGGTGATCCTTCTGTTGCCAAATCTCAACTTCTAAGAGCAATTATGAACATTGCTCCATTGGCAATATCAACTACAGGCCGGGGTTCTTCTGGTGTTGGTTTGACAGCTGCTGTTACTTCGGATCAAGAGACAGGTAATAACATATTCCATCTCTTGTGGTTCAACTTTTGCATTATATGATGTTATTACCAGGAAGATACTAATCTCTCTGTTATCAGGGGAGAGAAGGCTAGAAGCTGGTGCGATGGTTCTTGCTGATCGTGGTGTTGTCTGTATTGATGAATTTGACAAAATGAATGATCAAGATCGTGTTGCCATACATGAAGTTATGGAGCAGCAGACTGTAACTATTGCCAAAGCTGGTATCCATGCATCCCTCAATGCACGGTGCAGTGTGGTGGCTGCTGCAAATCCCATATATGGTTCTGTAAGTGACACAGCTAATGGTCATCAACCGTTTGATAACATATTTGCAATTTGTTGTTCTGACTGTCGCATTTTATTTATTTAACTAGTTTAGTCTAATTTTTTTAATGCTGGTTTTTTATGAATCATGCAGTATGATCGCTCATTGACACCAACAAAGAATATTGGACTTCCAGACTCTTTGCTCTCTCGTTTTGATTTACTGTTTATCGTATTGGATCAAATGGATCCTGACATTGATCGTCATGTCTCAGAGCATGTGTTGCGCATGCATCGGTATCGTTCTGCAACTGGAGGTACTAAAGCAGAAATCTCCTGTTTATGTTTTATGATCTTTGAGAAGTACAATATAAGTTTCACTAACTTATAAGTGTAGGTGAGGCAATGCTTGATGGGAGCTCGGCATTTGGAAGAGAAGATGAAACTGATAATGACTCATCTGTGTTTGTTAAGTATAACCGAATGCTACATGGGAAAAAAACCGATAGGGGTCGAAAGCGTGATACGCTCACAATCAAGTTTCTTAAAAAGTATATTCATTATGCAAAGAATAGGATTGAGCCTGATCTGACTGATGAGGTACTGGTTCTTTATTTGGTGATTTATTTACTCAATAATATACGTATGTTTTCCCTCGGTCACGTCATTTGGGTTGCTTATCTTAGAATCTTACTTGTGCAATCTGCCATATAATCTCTTTCTTGTGGAGAGCCTTTTCATTTAGTTTATGAACTTGTCTTCCTGACCTGGTCAGTGCATTATGAATCTGTCTGACAGCTAATAACGATTTTTTTTCCACAGGCCTCTGAACAAATTGCAACCGCGTATGCAGAACTCAGAAATGCCAGTTCAAATGCAAAGGTCAGCATTTGTCATCATTGTATATTTAGGCATGGTCAATGCAATGACTTTCTGACTACAATCTGATATCAATTTTGTTATTCAGACTGGAGGAACACTTCCAATTACCGCCAGAACATTAGAAACCATAATTCGTCTCTCAACTGCTCATGCAAAATTAAAGTTGAGCAGAAAGGTACCTTGTCAACTTCAATGATTAATAAAGACCAAACGGGACAAGTTCATTCTGCTCTTTCATTTATCTGTGGAATCAAAACTATGGTTTCTTCATCAGGTTATGTGTTCTGTGACTGTCAATTGTAACGTTCATCAAACTCAAAAGTAATGATAAAGCTACCTTAACAGGTTTCAAAGTCTGATGTTGACGCTGCTCTCAAAGTTTTAAATTTTGCAATTTATCACAAAGAGCTGACTGACATGGAGGAGCGCGAGCAAGAAAGAGAGCGAGAATTGGAGAGGAACGGCAGAGCTAACCATCCCGCAGGTCAAGATAATGGGTCTGGCAATGGTACTGGGAATGAAGGGTAAGTTTACTTTCCAGAAATTGCCTGTATCCACAAATTGATGTTATCTGTGCTGTCAAATTCACAACATTCATTTAACTTGTTTTCTCTTGATTTGCCTGTGTTAGTTCAACAACTGAACCCATGGATGTCGACCCTCACACTGAATCTGCTGCTGCTGATAATTCTTCGGAAAGGTTCTGCATAGTAGCACCAACCCATGCTGCTCTTCTGTTTTTTATTTTGTTTAATTCACATCTGAGTCGTTTGTTTCTAATGCCAATTCAATTTCTTTATTCCTTCTGCACCTGCAGGTTAAAAGCACTTACTGATGTTTTAAATCAAGTACGTACAGTACAGCGCTCGGACAGCATATCTGTTGAGGCCTTAGAGAATGCTGTCAATGACGGAGCAAGTGTTCCTTACTCAAGTACAGAGATAACCTTCCTATTAGAGGTAAATTTTCATTAAATTCACGGAAGACATACTGTACGGGCATCTTGCAATCTCTGTGCTAAAATCATTGACTTTTTAGTTCTTCCCTTTATTATTTTTCGAGCTAGTATCTTTGCGCATGAAGGATAAATAATAACTCACGAACTCGATAATGTTCAGGAACTTCGAAAGAGAAACATAGTGATGGTAGATGGTGGAACAGTGTTCATAATATCATGAGTTGGCAAAGGATCACCTGCAATATGTAATGCTAGGTATGTATGTTGCTGAGATGGATTTCCTTCACTTCCAAGTCTTGAATTCCAGGGAGAGCAAAATTTGGCAACAGATTGGATCCGTCACGCATCTATGGAGGGGAATACTGATTTTACTTTCGGTGTGTTGGCCTCGTGTATCTTCTTGTCTGTGGTTCTTAGACCTTGAATTAAGAAGTAGCTTTTCATTAATGTAATCTGCTTTCCTTTGCATAATCTATTTTTATGGATGGTGGAAAATTTATTGCATAATATTCATGACCTGATAGGATACTAAACAAGTGAGGGCGATGGCTACATTAGTGCGACGAGCATTGAAAAACACTATAAATTCTAAAAACTTACATGACACGGGTATATCAGCTGACATGGCTTTACACGCTAATGATCCTTGTCAGCTTTCAATCATATGACGTTGTATAATAGCACAGAATGCTACGGCGACAGTGAACATGTACTATTTAAGTCCAATTGTTAAACAATATAAATAACATCAAACGAATCATCTCATCCAAGCAATTAATTTACTGACAAATGTGAGTTGTGATAGTTGGCCAGTAAAATTTTTCCGCCCTTTAGCACCCAAGTTCAAACTTCACTCCTCAAAAATCAAATTAACTTAGAATATTGTCTTATAAAAATTTTAGTTAATATGGCGATGAAAGAAAAAAAAGGGAAAAAAAACCTTCAAAAAGAAAGGAAAGTAGAAGTTTGAAGGTTTTGTGATGCTTGTTAAGTTGTAATATAAGCCAAAGAAAGAAGAAAAAATGTAGGGGAAGTTACAGAGGCAGCCAGGCAGGGCGTAATGGCATGCCAAGACGGCGTGCGTGTTAGACTTGGAGGACAAGAATTCTGCTGTAGGAACCCTACTCCGCCTCCTCTCTTTCACAAAAACCCTCCTCGCCGTCGTCTCACCTGCTCCATTCGCTCCTCCCCCAGCCCCGATCGCCACCACTCTCTTTCCGTAATGCAAACCACCACCAAACTCATCTCTGCAATTTCCCACTCTCTCCACAACTTCAAGTCTCTTCCCATCCTTAATTCCACCAAGGTCCTCTCTTTCTCTCTCTCTCTCTCTCTCTCTCTCTCTCTCTCTCTCTCTCTGTGAAGACCATGCAATCGATGTTTTTCATAACTTGGTTTTCAGATGGAAGGGATTGATTCTACAGATGAACTTACTGAGGGGAATGAAATCAAGTGGAGTGCCATCGGGAAAAAGAAGATTTTTGTGGCAGGTGCTACTGGAAGTACCGGGAGAAGAATCGTTGAGCAGCTACTGGCTAAAGGTTTTCGGGTTAAAGCTGGAGTTCGAGACCTGGACAAAGCAAAAACTAGCCTCCCCCAAGACAACCCAGCTCTTGAAATCGTGAGTTTCTTCAAATATTTCAAGTGCAGGCCTCATGCTAGAAACTCAGTTGGGTCTTTGCTGTTTTTGGGATTGCTTAATGTCTGGGGTTTTGGATGAAAGAATGACTTGCATTTTTGTTTGTAGGTGAAAGCAGACGTGACAGAGGGTTCTGCGAAGCTAGCAGATGCGATAAGCCATGATTCAGAAGCTGTGATTTGTGCCACGGGATGTCGCCCTGGATGGAATTTGTATGCTCCATGGAAGGTCACTTCGATTCTCTATTTATGCAGTCGACCTTTATGTCCATTTTGCTTATGAAGCAAAATCTTTACGTTGCACATAATTGGTTTTCCACTGATTTATGAACGCATAACATTAACCGGCGTTCTGAAAGAGGTAAATTTACTGCAGGTTGATAATTTGGGCACAATCAACCTTGTAGAGGCATGCCGGAAACTTGGTGTGACTAGGTTTATCCTTGTGAGTTCCATTTTAGTCAATGGAGCAGCAATGGGCCAGATTCTCAATCCAGCTTACATCTATCTTAATGTTTTTGGATTCGCCTTGATATCAAAGCTTCGCGCGGAACAATATGTTAGGGAGTCGGGCATAAACTATACGATAATCAGGCCTGGCGGGTTGAGAGACGAGCCTCCAACTGGAAATCTTGTGATGGAGTCAGCGGTATGTTAACACAATTTTCATCAGCCTTTATGTTCTTTCTCATTTAGTCTTGTTTCCGTACGAAAACCTTAGTTATTGCTTCAAATTCTATGTTCTATCTCCGCTCTCTCTTGGTATAGGACACTCTTCATCAAGGCATAATCTCAAGAGATCAGGTTGCAGAAGTAGCAGTTGCGGCACTAGTCCGCCCTGAAGCATCTTACAAGGTTGTAGAAATAGTTTCGCGGCCCGACGCCCCCAAGCGTTCATGTGGCGAACTTTTTAGTTCAATCGCTCACCGGTGACCTCTGATCAGTTTGGTTCCACAAAAGTTTTAGTTTAGAGGCCTTCTGATTCAGAGATTGCAGATAGCATGCTTGATCAAAATTAATGCAGATATGTTATGATGACCCTATTACTCATGTCCTTATATTTCTTAAGGCTATCCCGTAATATCTTCAATGATCAGAACCGTCTATATTTTAGCACCTCATTCAAAGTCATCCTTGCAAAAAAAATCATCCAAATCTGAAAATGTTAGGTCCTCTTAAACGAGCATAAAAACCATAGTTCGTAAGATAAAATTGAAATGAAATTACGAATAATTGAATGGCCAAAAAAATGTTGATTTATCCGATTTTTTACATCGGTAATGCTTGAATGAAAATCTTACAACTAAAGGATTTCGATCGTTGAACAACACCCTAGAAATAGAAATAGGATGAAGTTAAGGACATCCTCAACTTAAATCCTTAACTTGCACAACTTAAATTCAAATCATCTTTATAAACATACCTAAAAAAAGAACGGACGTGCGTTCCATAGCCGACTCAATAAGAAGAGAAATTTTTTATTATGATCGGAACACGAGTGGTACACCATGTGTTTTTATATAAGTAGTGAAAATTTTTATTTTTCAAGTTATTAAATTTTTAACACACATATCCCACAATTTGTATAGTGGCACATGGTGTACCATCCCGTGTTTCCGTCACAGTAAAAAATCTCTCCAATAAGAAGGCAAAAGAAAAACCCCAATAAAGGGAGGAAATGGGCCCTAGAAAAAAGAAAAATTAATGAAAATGGTTTGAAACTTTGAATTGTAACGATAATGATAAAATAAAGGGTAAAATGAATAGTATTATGATTAATTTTTAATGTAAAAATGTAATTTTTCGTTAAAATTCTCATAAAAAACAGTGACGTGGAAGCTGCCCATCCACAGTCCCACACGGCAACTGGGAAGCCAAGACAGGACAGCGTCTCGCTGTTGGTTGGACTTGGAGGACAAGAAATAAGTAGAAGTTTCAAGGGAGCAAGATAAAGCAAATGGCAGCTCCTCTGCCTCTCATTCTCAGAAACCCTCCTCACCGTCTCTGCACTCACCACCTCCTCCCTCCTCTTTCCACCACCACCATCAAACCCTTCTCTCTGGTTTCTTTCTCCTCCAACACCAGGTCCTTTCCCATCCTAAAGTCCACTCAGGTCTCTCTCTCTCTCTCTCTCTCCAACGCCATTAATGTTTGTTTTTAACTATTAACATGTTAATCTCTGGTTTAGATGGAAGGGGGTGAAATTACAGAGGAAGTTACTGAGACAAGTTCAACTGAGACCAATGTGATTGGGAAGAAGAAAATATTTGTGGCTGGTGCCACTGGAAATACTGGTAAAAGAATTGTTGAGCAGCTGCTGGCCAAGGGTTTCTCAGTTAAAGCCGGAGTTCGGAACTTGGAGAAAGCGAAAGTTAGCCTTCCCTCAGCCAACCCAGCTCTTCAAATTGTGAGTTTCTTCAGAATTTCAAGTGCTGGTATTGATTCATGCTGGAAACTCAATTGGGTTTTTTGTTTTGTTTTGGGGAATGTTTATATTTTTTGGGTTTTCGATGAAACGATTTCTTGTGATTGTATGCAGGTGAAGGCAGATGTGACAGATGGTTCTGCTAAGTTAGCAGAAGTGATAAGTGATGATTCAGAAGCTGTGATTTGTGCCACTGGATTCAGCTACGGATGGGATGTGTTTGCTCCATGGAAGGTCACTTTGATTCTTTTATCTGTGCAATTAACACCTATTTCTTTTACTTTGTGAAGCAACTTGTTGAAAAAATGTAAACTTCCCACATCAGAAACCTGGCAAACGAAAAATAGACTATATAACGAGTGGTTCAGCTAATTGCATCGAGGCCTTTTGTATAAAACCCTACGCCTGCTAGACTGTGCAAGTGATTGAGTTGGGGATGGTATCGGCGTTGATCAGTAGTCCATCTTTCTGTAATCTTAATACTACTTCTATCTTTATGTAGTCCACCGTTGATTTTCGATTGGTGTTTGATTAAGTTCAATCTTTAAGTAGTTTCTTGTTTCAGTTTTACTATAGCAAATGAGTGATGCTTCAAATTCATGCCTTTAAAATTCTGAGTTTTAGCCTTTAGCTAGTAATGTAAAGAACATTCATTATTCGAACATCGAGTGGGAAACGAATTCATACTTTTTCTTGGCTTCATTGCATAATGCAACTCTAATGGCACTAAATATTTGATGGTTCTGTATATGCACCCTAGAAAGCGGCTAGCTCCGTGTTCTGCTATCTGAAATAAGATAATTTTAGTCCAGGTTGTAATTGAAAGAACATTCGTTATTCGAACATGTTTTGATGTCTGAAAACGGTTGATTTTAGTGCAGGTTGATAATTTTGGCACAGTCAACCTCGTTGAAGCATGCCGTAAACTTGGTGTGAACCGGTTTATTCTTGTGAGTTCCATCTTGGTCAATGGAGCAGCAATGGGGCAGATTCTCAACCCAGCTTACATCTTCCTCAATGTTTTTGGGCTCACCTTAATAGCAAAGCTTCAGGCAGAGAATTATATCAGGAAGTCTGGTATAAACTACACGATTATAAGGCCCGGTGGGTTGAGAAACGACCCTCCAACCGGAAATCTTGTAATGGAGCCAGAGGTAACACAATTTTCTTCACACTTTGAGAACTCTCCCCATTTAATCTTGTTAAGTACGAAAACCCGAGTTGCTTTAACTTATTGTTGTCTATGATCTCTCTTGATAGGACACTCTTTCAGAAGGCAGCATCTCTAGAGACCTGGTTGCAGAAGTGGCTGTCGAGGCATTACTGAATCCTGAAGCGTCTTACAAGGTTGTGGAGATAGTTTCGCGGCCTGATGCCCCTAAGCGTTCGTATGAGGATCTTTTCGGTTCCATCAAGCAACGGTGATCTTTCACTCACTCAGTGTCATTCCGGAATCCAGATTACTATGTTGCTTTGCCTATATTCCTTTTGCATTACTCTTTTTTTTATTTTTTATTAAATCGGTATAATATATATATATATATATATATATATATATGAAAGAACTGAAACTTAATTATGAACAATTTTCTTGATTTCTTGAAATCAAATTATATTAACCATAAAGAAATTGAACATCACTTCCAAAAGAAGTTAAGCAAGAAAAAAAACATGATGAGGAACTTAAATGAACAAGTTTAAAAGAAGAAGGCCAGCAAAGAAGCCATGGCTCCTAGTGCAGCAGCAGGAACACCTAGAGCAGCCGCGGTGCTCTCCATCGGTGCAGGTGCAGGAACACCAACATCTTCAGCAGCTCCAAGCGACGCGAAGCTCACAAGAACAATCATGCAGATGGTGAAAACCATGGCCATTTTGCACCCCTCCATATTTTCTTCTTCTTCTGAACACTAATTCTCAAGTCACAAGTGGAAGAAGTGTGCTAATGCTTTTGGTTTGAGGAAAATGAGGAAGCTTAAGTGGGTTTTATAGGTAGGGGATTAAGGAGCTGAGCAAATGGGAGCCCGACACCTGTCAAATTATGTTACTTTAACCGCAAACAAAATAATTTGGGAGTGGTGTGGCCTGTGTTTAAAATTGCAAGGTTAGGAGAATATAATCTCTTTCCAGGCAATTACTTGGAATATTTGAATCATTTTTAGTGGCATACATGTGAGCTTTCCAGGTTTGAGGGCAATGTGCTGTCCACGAATGATTGAATATTGAGGTCATTGGATTGCTCTACAAATTGGGCCTTTCAAAATTAAAGCCCACACTAGAAGTTGGACCTTTCAAATTTGAGACCCACATAATGGAGAGTGGAGAAACTTAACTGATCCAAAGAAACAAGTTACGCATTTTTGTAACCGTGCGTGATTGGTTTAGAATATTGTTAAAGATACTAAATACTTTTTTAGCACAAACACAAATGCTCTCATCGTGTGTCAAGCAGTGACGGATTCAGATCGGGAAGCGTGCAAAAAAAAAATTTAGTTTATTCACTCAGGTATTTGTCGAACACTTAGTTTGCTTGTTGTTGTCAACCTAAGCGATGTTGCGCACATATCAATAAATTTCAACAAAATGCTGAGCAATCTAATGAGTAATATTGAGAGAATTTTTGTCGAGCATTATCAACCCAATACGTTATGCCTATTAAACATTTGATAGGCATAAAAATAACTCGTACCAAACATTCAAAGGATCTTTGACCTTCACATGTATATTTTTCAAATTCCGAATGATCCTATACCACTTTGATTTCAATGTACATCCTTTGGCGTTTATTAAACGGATAATTTTGTTTTAACATGTGTCAAATATTTATTAAAAATAACGCCAATGTAACTACAAATTAATTGCAAGAGCAGTCTCTCCACTCACTCTCTCTTTCTCTCTCAACTTGGTTGGAAATTCAGAACAGAAATGAGTAAGGTGCCGAAATATCGGCGAGCGGTGCCGGCGGCGACGACGAAGTTCCGAGAAATAGAAGTTCTGATAATCTCGGCGCAGGACCTGAAGAACGTGAAGCACGTGACGCAAGTGAGGGCGTACGGTGGTGTACGTGGAGAAGGACTACCACGTGGCCAGGACGAGCGTGGACGAGCACGGCGGGACCAACCCCACGTCGAACGAGGTCGTCAAAGTGAAGTTCCGGGAAGACTTGCTGGAGAACGACGTGCTGGCAGCGCTGAACGTGGACATCTACGCGCACGGGCTCGTGAGGGAGAAGCCGGTGGGGAGTGCGCGGGTGCTGCTGTGCGACGTTTTGAAGGGCGGGGACGCACGGGAGCCGGCGGATAATCCGATACAGTGCATGACGGTGCAGGTGTGGAGGCCGTCGGGTAGACCCCACGGGCTGCTGAACCTGTGGGTTCCGCCGACGGGGAGGTTCTTGATAAGGAGGGAGTCTTTGTCGTTTAGTGTGAGGGAGGAGGCGGAGGAGGACGAGACGGTGGTGGCGGTGAAGGTGGCGACGAGGCATAGGTTTTGAACTTTCGATGTGTCACTTGTATAAAAGTGCATGTGACACGTAGAGCAAATGTTATGTTTTTCGTGCATGCAATGGACTGGTACTTGTTTGGATCACTCTCACTATATTAGGGAGGTGATTAGTAAGTAAATGTGGTTTACATGGTTTTATCTTTTCTTAGTTACTTACATTTAATTACTTTCTTTGTTTTATGGAATAAATGTAGTTCAAATAACATTATTTTTTTTTTAAATCTGATTAGTAGGTTGTACGAAATTGGAGAGATTGTTAGAACACTATCATTCGATGTTTGTTTTGTTCACGCATTATAACATGTGTTGGTCGCATCATGTTTGTGTTTGTTTTCACGTATTATAATATGAATGGACGATTAAGCTATTCTTCAATGAAAGTATTAAGAAATACGTGATATGCAATATTTTTTGATGATTAGATTATTCTTCAATGAAAGTATTTCTATTAAGAAATACGTGATTCACAATAATTTTTTGACGATTAGGTTATTCTTCAATAAAAGTATTAAGAAATACGCAATTTACAATAATTTTAAAGCTATTTAAAGGTCAAGTAGTACAAAGGTATAACAAAAACATAGTAGAATGGATTGTGTTGACGAATTTATTCACACGAAGTGATAACAGACTAAGATAAGAGAGTAAGACAAACCACAAACATCAACAAGTGACTCTGTGGCCCAATGGATAAGGCGCTGGTCTACGAAACCAGAGATTCTGGGTTCGATCCCCAGCAGAGTCGTCATCTTTCTTTTTATTATTTTTCGGTTGTTTTAAATGAAATACATTTTATGTAAAATAAAGAGATACAAAATAGCTTAACAATAAGTCAGGATGGCCGAGTGGTCTAAGGCGCCAGACTCAAGTTCTGGTCTTCGAAAGAGGGCGTGGGTTCAAATCCCACTTCTGACATTCTGCAACAATTATCTTCTATTTTGTAATTTTCTTTTGTATATATAGTTCTTTTTAATCCAATTTTCATGTTTAGTCTACATTCAAAAGTCAAAACTAGGGAATATCCTTTGTAATTCTTTTTATACGACAATATTTTAACTAGGATTCGACTTAGTCACACAATGAGATATTTGAAAATTTAATATCGGATAGCTACGCGATAGTGGTGGCGGCTTTCTCCTTACATGGTCTTCCATTTAACTGGACAAATTGATTTCTTCCTTTCGAAAGGGTACTTGCAAGGCCAAAAAGGGGAAAGCATTGATAGAAGAGTACATAATTACATCAAGGTACAAATTTATGAAGGAAAAAGACTAATAATTACAGTTTTTTGATTGCTCAAGCAAGGAATACATGTCAAATGCTCTTGTTCTGTGCCTCCATGGAGAAACTACTAACGGAGCCACTTGGTTGGCGTCAATCGGCTTAACATGTTACTTTCCTTCGAAAATGAACCCTGAAGCGAGCAGCAGGATTCGAGATGGCTATTGTGGTCATCATCGCCTCCTGCTGTTTATTCTGTCTGTTCCTTATTACATGATGCTGTTTTAAATCTCTCTAACTGTTTCCGTATATAAGCCTGTTTTAACTTCTCCCGACGAGCAGCTGCTTGCTCTTCCCTACGCAGTTTGAGCTCAGATGCCTTCTCTCTTGCTTGATTTGCTTCTTCGTGTACTTCCCTGAAGAAAAGGAACACAAGACCAGAAATCATGAGATGTCTGTTGCCAGGAGCATGGAGATTTCAATCAAGCAATACGCGGTGGCCAGGACGATGAAGGACTAGATTCAAGCAATAAGAAACATCCCATGTAAATGGAGAAACTATAAACAAACAAATAATACGAAAGAAGAGAATAAGAGGAACCCTAATCCAAACCATTTTTTCATTTATTGATGAAATAGATTCCTAGTTTTTGTGTCGAAAGCGTAGTTCTAAAACTACACTCTTATATTCTTTTTATACATTATTCAGCTCATTTCCGGCACTCAAGACATTGTACAGGACTTATGAAATCAGATGAAATTTAACAGAATAGATCAGCAGTCCTATATAGAGCAAACGAAAATTAAAAAAACAGGAATGCAAATCAAGAACGGTTCAACGAGCTTAAGCAACTCATTCATAGCAGTTAGATTCGAGTTCTACCACCAACCCCCCGCCCAAATATGAGTCTCAGCTCAACTACTTCACCTTAGAAGCTTAGAAGAGGAACAGCGGCAACACCAAATGACTGTGGCTAAACGTTAAGTATCCAGAATTATACAGAATATGGTAACACTGAAAAAATAACAGTATAACAATAACAAAGGTTCACTCAAGTGTCAAAAGCTTTTTCATTATTTGATTATGTTTAGTTAACTCTAACTACACTGTCTGTACGGCATATATACTTATAACTTAACACAGAAATAAGTTGAAAATTTTACCTCACAAAACGCTTGTGAATATCATTGTCCACTGTCGCATCCGCTCGCCCAAGCCCCAAAGGTTTCGTGCAAAACAGCGTAGAAGCGTTGATCTCGCCATCTTGATTCTCCGGAGATACTACCGCAGGTGAATCACGGTGCTGAGTCTGCTGCGGTTCGTCCTGCTCAACTCTCTTGCCGAAAAAATCCACACAATACTTTTCTTTATCTTCTTCATCTGATAGCTCACCCCTTGCTAGCTTATCGTACAATGCAGCCTTCCTTTCCAAGGCTGCATAGCTCGCCGATCCATCATGAACTGCTTTCAGCTCAAGCTTGTCCCTGAATTTAAACCAGCAAAAAAACATAATTGGTTTGATTTCAGCAGAACCCCAAATTAAAGCCTAGAGGTATTGAACAGAAGTTGAAACGTCCAAAACACAGAGCTCAAAAATCTCATCTTCTCACTAAAAAGAACCCAAAAACCCTAAATTTATAATCAGATAACAACAAGAACCCTAGATTACCAAAAGGAACCCCAACCCATAAATTACACTAATACAACAAAACAGCTGATAATTAAGTAAATTGAAATTAAACCCAGAAAAAAAAATTGGGAAAAAAAAGAAAGAAAGAGACGTACTTGTGGGCCCGGGCGTCGACGCCGGAGTTCTTGGCGGAGAAAGCGTCGTGTGCGGTGATTCTCTTCTTGGCGCGATGGAACTCGACGTCGGAGCCGCCGAGTTCTTTGGACTTCTTGGATTCTTCTTGGGATTGATAGAGTTGGGCCTTGAGCTCCATGATTGAGGAGGCTCCGACGCCGGCGATGGCGCGGTGCTTCTTCGGCATAATTGAGGACTCCGTCAGCCATCCGAGGGATTCCACCACCACCCTTCTCTTCTTTGGCTCCTCGTCCTCCGCTGCCATTTTTGGGCAATTTCAGGATTGAAATTGTTGGTTGGTAACTGGAGATTTCTGGTTTCTTCTTCCTCTGTTCGAATTTAATTTTATCGGATTCGCGGAATTTCGCTTCTTCAGTCGGGCGGGTGGTAAATTGGTAATGGACTCCACCGCCACATTGTGGCCCGGCCCATTCAGGCCCATTCTTATAATTTATCACTATTTTTTTTTTCACAGAACTATTTGCTGCAATTTACAAAACTAGATGTTTTCTAGGAAATTTTATTCGAGCCCATGGAACTTTTTTCTATACCCAACTTACTCTCTAAATCTATATTACTTTTAATCAAACTATTAATATCACTTTAAACCCAACTTTACTACCTAAATTACCCTCATAAACCCACTTTAATATATAAATTTATTTTTACACCCATTTAAAAAACCCGAAATCAATATTCTAGAACTCATTCAACACGTAAAGAGAGTAATATCTCTTACCTATTTGTCTCATCCTTAATCTTTGTTGCATATTTGCCACTCTAATATGCAAAGGCAAGGACCTAGTGGATACTGAAAATGGTGCATTACTCGTCACTCTAATATACAATTAAGTCGAGTTTAAATAACTGTGTCATCTCGATGCTAATGTTTGATCCTTGCTCCTGCATTTGTCAAGTTCAAGCTTAATTAATTAGAGCTAGGTATAAATTGTATTCAATGGTTAAGTTACATAAAATAGACAATGTGTAGTTTATAAATCATAAAAATAGTTTGTTGTGTGCCAATGTTTTAGTCAATTTTCGCATCTTACTTGCCCAGAAGATTAACTGCTTTCACAAAAACAAGTAGAAACAAAGTTTGATTCGAAATTTTTGGATTGGTATTGAAACCCTGTATTTTGATCCGATTAGTCCGAAAATCACCCCTGATAGACATGTGTAGCTCAATAAAGTGACTGCCTTGATCTTTGAAGACATACAACTCAACTGAGGTACATTGAAGCAAAGGAGCCTTCTTACTCCATTTATAACTGGGACTGGAACGATGGAAGCAACGAAGTGACAAACATCCACGTACGTGCAATAAAAGAGACAGAAAATTGAAGTCACATTTATTCATCGAGGCTTCAATGTAGAGGGGACCGACGAAACAAGGTACCAAACTTCATAGATGACGGATTCAGTGGCGCTTCTTCCCTGTTGCTACTTCCCAAGCCTGTAATATGTGGTTCACGATTTCCTCTACTCCTTTCCCGTGCTTCACCTGCACATACACGGTTCTCAAGCATGTAAATCATGAACATAAAAATTCAATATCGTTCCTATAACAACAAATCATTCGAGAACCACCCTCCTGGCACAACGAAACATTGACAGGGATAATAGTGTCGAGGATATGTAGTAATCACAGATTATGTGATTTCCGAAACTGAGCAAACACAGGTTTTTGATTTCATGTTGAGCAAATTTCATGTTAACGAGCAAATTAGTGCATTTGTGCATCTCCAAGTTTTAACATGTTTACAAACGCTAGTGAACCAGTTTGATGGTACGACCAACCAACCTGAGCAAAGACAAACGGCCCTCCATCTCGCATTCGCAGCGCATCACGCTCCATCACTGCTAAATCAGCTCCAACTGCTGGTGCAAGGTCAGTCTTGTTTATCACCTGCAATCCAATGTTATTAAGTCATTCATACATCAATCCCTTATCATTTAATCAAAATTTAGTCAACACAATTGATAGCAGATACTAGACAGATATGGTATTCAGAACAACAGCAATGAATATCAAAAAACGCATACCAGGAGGTCAGCTTGAGTGATGCCGGGGCCACCTTTTCGTGGAATTTTATCACCACCAGATACATCGATTATGTAAATGATATAGTCAGCCAGCTCCCGGCTGAAGTTTGCGGCTAAATTATCTGCATCCACACAAATTCAATTGTATAGCGTTTCAGAAAAAAAAACGTAGAAAACCTCAATTCAGCCACTAGTCATCATTCACATACAAAGCTCCTCCATTTCTGCAAACTTTACAATAAGCATTTCCATCCGAAATAAGTTTTTGCAACATTCTCCCAAATTAGCATCAAACTCCAAATGGCTCCATAAAGTCATTTAATTTCACACTTATGAGAGCAATTACACCACGACCATCAGTCAATTGCAATAATCAAACTGAAATGATCAAATCATTTGCAATAGTCTTCTACAATTGCTTTTGGAAAATACCTCCGCCAGATTCACAAAGCAGTATGTCGGTCTTGTACAAGTTTGAAAGCTCCTCAAGAGGGCCAAGGTTAATACTGATGTCTTCGCGAATTGCAGCATGTGGGCAGCCTCCAGTTTCCACAGCACGTATTCTTTCTTCCGGAAGTGCTCCATTCTTCACCAAGAACTCACCATCCTCTTTTGTGAATATATCATTTGTCACCTGCAATTGTTACGCTTATTATATTTAACCTTTCCTCAATCAACTTGAAGCACCAGCGTTAAAGGTCTTCGCAGACATTAACAATTACTACCCAAAGCTACAATACGATTTTGCAGCAAGGTAAAGACACAAAAGCTTAAATATTCGAAATTGTTCCTACTTACAGCAGCAAGACTGTACTTGTCACGCAAAAGTCTACACAGAGCCAACATCAAAGCAGTCTTCCTGTATGACATGAAGCAGCATTTCATCAACTATCATTGAACGGGACGATTTGTTCTAGCAAATTAGTATTCACAAGAATCACAGCTAAGAAAACTAATCCAGGCATGAATTCCAAATCACGAATCCGAAGTCATTCAAACAAATTTATAAATTGCCATGCTGCAAAATGAGGATAATTTGATATTGCTGGTGGGTGCTACACTGTCCAAGCAACTAAACAATTTCCAGGGAGAATCTGGGGAAACCGATACAAACCCACATTGCTGAATTGATGAAAATTGCACGAAACATATTTATAAATTGTATCACTCCCCCACTAACTGAGAGTGATTTCCGCACTCCCATTTGCACCTACTGCACTCCCTTCACTCTCTCGCTTGATTTTCCTTTGATTTATTCAATTGGAGCGCAAAAGGCGAAAAAGGAGTGCGGAAATCACAACCGTACACTCAAACCCCGAAAGCAGAATTACAGTAAAATAAAGTGTCAATCTTTACATAAATTCTAGTCTTTTAAGCTATGATGCAACTGATGAATGTGATTTTTTTTTTCAATAATTCAAAAAATTAAAAAATATAAATAAAAGGCAAAAATGACTCAGCTTACCCAGTACCAACAGGTCCACCAATGCCAATGGTGAAAGCCCTTTCATTGAAATTCCTGGAGAGGAGAGGTGGAGCTCTTCTGCTGAAGTACCCGGGGGAGTATATGGGTTCGTGTGAGTGTGGTGCCAGCCCATCGTGGCTATGGTACACCTTCCCATCTGGGCCCACAAATGAATTTGGTGCTGCTGAACTCCCATGGCTATGACCATGATCATGATCATGATGGTGGTCATGGTCATGGTCATGATGATCATGGTGGTGGTCAGCCATTGATCACTAGAGTCTGCAGAGTTCTACAGCGGGTCAAAAGGGCGAAGGGAGAAGAATGGGGATATCTGGGTGTTTGGATGGGCGCACACGGAATAGGATAACTAGAAATTTTTAATTTACCAAAACACCCTTAATTAATATTTAAAATTGCTAAAGATAAATTACATTTTACCACCTCAACTTTTGAATCATATAAAAATCTCATATCTCATATTTTAAACATTACAATAATATACATTAATTTACGAATTCGTTACAATGTCAGACGTTTATCTTCTTGTCAATCAATTTGTTTGTTAAAGAGCAATATTTTCCTTTGTAGTATTGGTGATTGTGTGAACTATGAACACCCTTAGTTAATGTTTAAATTTTTGTAACCCGATTATCATATTAAAAATAAAACTACACTAGTGTGGAAGTAGTCCAACTTCAATTGAACCGTTATACATTTTTGTGTTCTTATGTATTTGTGTCGTTTTATGGTTAAATATTCAACTTTACACACGATGATACATCAATAATGTACAGCAATTGAAACACACCTCAGAATTTCCTTCTTATTGGTGTCCATAAATAATATGTATACAAATTAATATGTATATGACATTCTGAGTGCCCTCTCCATCATCCACTTTTTAATGCATGCACTCCATCACTGTCCTCCTGCTAAAAATCACCCACAGTTGCACAAAGCATAAAAATAAAATAAAATAAAAAATAAAAAATAGAAACAAATGAGCACTCACAAACAAAAGCAAAAGAGATAAACAAAACCCATGTTGTAGTTCAGTCAAACAAGTTCTTGAGTGCATTGACTTTGCCACGTGGCTGCTGATCTGGCAACAAGTCCCTTTGAATTTGCTGCTGCCTTTGAGCAGTTTCTTCATCTTGTTGCCTGATTGTGATTGGCTGTTCAAGATTGCTCAAAATCACTCCTTGCTTTTGTATGTAATCTTTTTTGTCTTGGAAGAGATAACAGGCAGCAATGAAGGAGACCTCAGCTGTGAAAAGAATAGTCCAAAGTCCTGAGCTTCCCTGTGTTCTCTTATGGTAGGCTTCTAATCCAGTGTAGATGTTGATTATCCCAAACAAGGATATCACTGTCCCAAGCATCCAATGTGCCAAGTACCAAAAACTCCTTTCTTTCTTTCCCCTATAAGAAACAAAAACTCTCATTCAAATCTGACACTAGTTAACGACGGGATCAACAGTCTAATAGTTTGGTGTGTGGCTTTAAAAAATTTGACAAAATCAACTTTTTAGAGTTACGAATCGTTACACTGTTAGCTCCTCCTTCTGTTTAGACAACAAAGATTAACTTGACGGTTAGACTGAAGGAAGGGCTGACCAATAGTGTAAGAATTCACAACTTTTAGAGTTGTTTTCGTCTATTTTTAATAGACGTGGACCGAACTGTCCCTTACTTAACTATTACCTATGTGGCCTGAAAAATCCTATTAGGGTTTGTATCCATATCGAACCATAAAGTGCAAGACCTAATCTCTGGTGGTGGTTGTTGAATGAGTTCTCAAAGTTTCTTAGGGACAACACAGCTCCAGCTGTGGCAACAAGCACTGACAGCATCTGTGTATACATCGAAGTTCAATCAGAAGCCACCATATACAATAACAGTTGTATTTAACATGCCTAAATTATTACGTCGACAGAGCAATTATGCCAGTATATGGAGTACGTAGCAGACAGTGATGATAAGAATGATTATGGTGAGTTTAGTTTGTAAAGTTAATCAAAATAAGTATAGAAAGATTGATTAGTGTAGGATCTTACTGAGTTGGAGGAGACAAATTCATGAGTTTAAGCAGAAAGAGAGAAACTTGCTATGTATTCTTGCTGTTCAAGTAATCATATAGGATTATTGACAAATATGGTTTCTGTATTTTTTAAACTTTAAGGTAATTAAAAAGGTGGTGCAGATAGGTTTATAAACAAAAAAAGAAACAGTGGACAGCATGATTAAAGTTAAAGTGGCTTATCATGATTACTGAGAAGAAAGATCAAAACTTGAAAGATTACTGATGTTTAAAGATCAAAACTTGAAAGATTACTGATGTTTTAACTCATTGATCATAATTAATCCAGTTAATGAATGGTAATTGGATAATCAGTGTTCTTACTTCTAATTAGATAATTTTCGGAAAACAGCGCCCGAATTGGAAGAAAGAAAGATGAGAAGAAATTAAGAAGAGCTTGCCTGCAAAATAACATGGAGGTAGAAGAGAACTTTGGCTCTTGTTGTCCCACGTTCCTCTCTAACAGACATTCTAATTACAAGTATTCCAAGAGGCATCAAAAAGCCAATTGAAAACCATGCGAGGAGGCCGTGAACTGTAACGTTAAACGTCATTCGTGGACTCAGCTGCAAACACAACAATCCGAGAAGGAGAATAAGAAGAAGTTCATCCAAAAAGACGGAAGAAAAAAGGCAAAACCGATTTAAAAACACTATACCTTGTGAATGTTTTCTTGTATGTTCTTGTGACTGCTGTGTTGGTTGACATCTTCATGAAATGAGCAGCCAACTAATGGAAGAAGAAGAAGAAGAAGAAGATAATATGTAGTTATTGCAAAAGATGCGAGTTTGAGAGAAGTTTGCATTCTTCAATATCTGACTGAATTACAAGGCCAAGGGAAAAGAAGAACCAAAGCCTTTACCCCCTCTCTCTCTCTCTCTCTCTCTCTCTCTCTCTCTACAGATTTCAGATTTTCATCATTTTGTGTAGACACTTTTAGGATGTGTTGTATATAGTTAATCTGATTTGGATGGGTTTTGGGAGAATTTGGAGAAGGAAAAGTTGAATATATGTGTAACTTTTCAAGGCTGGTCTTGCTTTAGACAATGTGGTATGATCCATAAGTGAGTAGAAAAAGGAAAATTTTAGTAAACTACAAGTTTTATGTATGAAAAACACTTTGGAGAGTTCAATTGGAAAAGGAAAACCTCTGAGCAAATCACTTGTCATGTTCTAATTTATATCTTAATTTTGGAATTACATTAGTGCTTTTTCTCCATTGAAAAGTATTTTATTAAGGTACAAAGCTCAAACTTTTTTCTGAAATGTAATGTTAACATGGATCCATGGACATGAAACCCTAAAAATAAAAGTTGATTTTTTTAGTCAAAATGATTACATAACTCCTCACTTTGGTCTTTGAGATTGAAAATCGATAGAAGTGGTCTCTGAATTTGTCTACCGTCAATAATTTTGATAATTCCGTGAAAAACCTCCATAAAATTAAGGATTTTATTCAATCAATCCCTCTACTTGCTTTTCCATTAACCGTTTGTGCTATAATAACTTATTGGATTGAAGGCAGATTGTTTGCCCTCCTGTTTGGATGCCCTTCCCATCCCCTTCTATTTTGTGCGATCACGGTTAAACCACGTTAACATTTTATATTGATTTTTTAATAGAGATAATAAGACAAAAAAAAAATAGAAATATAAAATGTTGACATGACTTAACTATAACTGCACAAATATGAGAAGATGAGAAGGGCACTCAAACAGGAGGGCAGAAAGTCTGCCTTCTATTGGATTTGTAGCCTGGGGCGATTGATGGATGGTAGATAGTGTGAGAGAGAAGATATAGACAAAGAATTAAAAACAAAAGAAGGGGAATGATATGAATGTTAGGTAGGTAGTTTCAAAAACTTCAACCAAAGTTGAAAGTGGAGGTTGAAATTGCCGTGATTTTTGGTCTTTATATACAAATGATTAACGCCAAATCACAAAAAAGGTCTTAAAGAAAACCAAACTTTAGATATGACAATCTAGCTAACTCATATTTAGCTTTTCTAGCTTGCTCTTTAGCTTCACGTGTATGTTTGTATAGTGCGTTTTTCTTTCTTATTTGCAGTTTATTTGAATTTTTTTTTTTAGTATGTCGATATTTTTACATTAAGAAAAAAGGGAATTCGGCTAAACCATAATGAGCAATCTAATTTGGTATTGAGTTCGCTGTCTACGAGATTCGAAACCTAAGATACCTTACTTCAAAGTGAAGAGGAATATCACCAGCCTGTAGTATTGAATGACTTATTTGAATTTTAAGCAGGACAAAAACTTGCATATATTTATTTTTCTTAGGCAAGTCTCTCACATTTGTTATATTAAATGAGTGAAATATGAGATTAAATTTAAAGTATCGGTTCGTGTCATGAAACAGGCGTAGGCAAGTTTTTTCTTGAATTTTTGCAGTTTCTATTTTCATTAAAATATTCCTTCCTCCATCAATAATAGAATTGTTACAGGAACAAAGCAGACTCCTTGATTGAGACGGTCGTTAAAAAGCAGCAACGAGGTGTACATATATTAAGGTACATGGTCAATTTCAACGGAAAATGATCCTCAGGGATTATAGGATTCCGTAATTGTGTTCGTTTATTGTATATCGTACGGTTAGTTTTTGTTAGGTACTATTTATATTTAAATTTTAAATTTTAAATAATTTCTGACCGTACAATGTACGATAAACGAACATGATTGCGAAATTCCTAAGATTCCTAAGAAAATGATCTGACGATGATCCTTTTCCAATCTCAACACCACTTGTGTGTGTTTCTTACCAAAAGTGATTCTAAGAGTAAATATGAACCTTCATTAATTAATATTGTTTATTTGTCTTTTATAGAAAAAATGTCAGTTTGATAAATATGTGTAAAGCTGCTTTTGCTTTCTACTATTTTGAACTTATAATTTAGAATCTTTTTTTATTTCGTTTACCAAACACAATTAAAGTCTAAATTTTTGTAAAAGTTGCTTTTAAAAACTTTAGCAACCCAAAACATTATTCCCAAAAAAGTGATTATATACCCTCCGTCACTTCCAAACGGGCTCAAAGTCATGGTTAAAATGTACGAGTGGCTAGTACTTAAGATATCACATAATTTTGATCGAAGTTGGAATATCTGGCATGATTTAGCAAAGGTTTTAATAAAGATTTTGATTGGGTTATGACTTTACCTTCCGTGCCAAAAGGTTTAATCCCTAAATAAAACTCTGATTCACTGATAAAATTACTTTAAGAACATTACTAAAGTCTAGTTTGGTATTATTGTGCTTTGAAAAAATGCTGATTCTACCGTGCTATGAGAATAAGCAACTGTGAAATAAAGCAGCAGAATGTTTGTTAAACTTTTTGGAAAAAGTACTTTTGGAAAAAAAAAAAATTATGATATTTGGTAAACTTTTATCTAAAACAAATGTGAAAAAAAAAACCAATTTTTCAAAATTAGGTTTTGCAGCTTCTTGTTTTTAGCTTTTTTCATCCAAAACTACGAAAAAAAAAGCTAAAGTTGAATGTTTACCAAACACAAAAACAACTCCCAAACTTTTTTTGATACCAGCTTTTTTCAGAATCACCTCAATATCAATCCAGGTCTAAACCATAACTTAAGAAACATTAAAACCACCGTGTTTTTCGACAGGCAGTAACATCGGGCGACAAACAACCGGCGAGACAGCAAAATAAATCAAACGTACAATCGAGGGTTCCATTCAACAACATGAATGAAAACAGAACAACAAAAATAATCGATATCAAATTTTGAACTGGGGGGTTTAGAACCCCGAAAGGTCCTCCAATTGTTTGTTACTCAAAACAAATAGCCCAAAAAACAGCAACCGAGAGCACCAGAACGATTCAGACACTTATCCGATGGCCAACCCCTGTTATAGCTTGTTGAACAATCGACCGAATTACATAAACAAGTTGGGCCTGGACGCCTTGTATGTAGTCTTCAACTTCCTGGATGGTGGTCTAACCTTCCTGAACACCAACGGGAACTTGATCTTGGAGTTGTGGAATTGCTTGGTGCTTTCCCTCTTGCAAAGCTTAGCGGGGATGGTGGCGGTCTTGATGATCTGGATACAAGGAAACCTGACCCTGTGGCGAGATGCCATCTCAATGTACATCTGCTCCACGGCACCATTTAGCGTGGTGTCGCGGTACTCCTTGTACATGTTGTGGTAACCCGTCCTGCTTTGATACCGCAACCAGATACCGTAGTTCTTGATGGTTGTCGGGTTCTTCTCAAAGATCTGCAACCGAATTCCACACAAATAGATAAATACCATCTCTCACAACAGCAAGAATAATCTCAAATCTAGCATTTGGAACATCAAGTCAATGATTACGAAACCCTAAAACCTCAACGGCTCTGCATTCCTAAATACCAGTCTCTACACATTCATAAACTGTGAAAACAAACCTCATTGATGGCAAGAACTTGGCCATTGCTCTTCTTCACCTTCTTCAGCTTCCTCAGAAAATACCTAATCCAAACAGAATCAACAATTTAATATTTCAGAAATGAAGCAAAATTCAACCATGGAGATATGGGATCAGATAATCCGAGCACAGGGGAAGGTTTTATACCAGAACTTGGACTTGGCGCGAACCTCATTGGTGGCCCACAGCTTCATTCTGTAAATCTTCGGCTGCTCATCGGTCTCGGTGGGGAGCTTCCTCCCGACGACCTGGTACTGGTGGAACTGTAACACGAAAACGACGACGTTAATTGCAGCTCAAAACCCTAAAACCTCCCTTTCTGAGAAGAGGGGGAGATCGGAGAAGAAGATGCGCAGGGTTACCTTGAAAACGCCCATGTCGGAGAATCAGAGAAGACGCGGCTAAGATCTCTGAGGCCTCTCTGTCTCTCTCTCTCTCTCAGGTGTGAGAAGAGCAGGCTAGGGTTTTTGTTTTGTTTATATACGAGGACGAAACCCTACTTCCATTGAAGGGAGAAATTATGAGCTTTTTTTAATTGCTAACAGTTGGGCTTTGTACAAGTAAGGCCCGTTTAAAAAACCCAAAATACACCCAAAAGTGTGATTAAAACGAATTTTGTGATGCCAACAAATGGGAATGATGAAAACAGAAGTTGAAGTGTAACAGTTAAATTGTCACGTGATGTTACTAACAGGCAATTCGACAGTGGCACTAAGTAATTTCTGGACAGATGGATTGCCAGTTGCATACCTAACGAGTAACGCGACGAGTCCATGTTTTCATGGACTTTCGTTTAGAATTCATGGCATTGGCAATCTGGATTTGTCGCAAGAAAATCGAATGAAACGGATCAGAGCAGATTATTACATATAAACATTGCTTCCCTGCTACTTTATATGTATGTACTTTGAGTAATGCAATGCTAGCAAATTCTGAGATACAATTACAAACACCCAATATTCTCTGTCAAGTACATGTACAAGCAAGATAAGCCAACGTAACGATAATTGGCAATAGCCATCCCCTACAGCTCCTTCGAATGAATGCTAGGTACTAACACGGGATCAGATCATCGTTCAGAGTCCTTAATTAAACCTCATCAGGTTTTCACTTCCCTTTGTTACGCCCAGAATAACAGCCATCACAGCAAGAATCGACTGCAAAATGTAAAAACATAATTCAAATGAAAGCACAGCCAAAAGACCGAACCCAAAAAAAATACAAGGTGCAACTTCTATTTCTATTTTCTAAATTAACTCGAGTATGGCAGGAGCGAACAGCATGTAAATAGCATTACCCCAATGACAAAGAACACCCGGTGTACACAAAGCATAACATGCATACCATGTTCACCACAATCGGACCACGTCTTAGCATTAGAATATGGTGGCCTGAAACAATCAATAAATCCGTGGAAAGGTATGTAGACTTAAAACAGGCAGTGTGGACATTACTGCGAATAGCTTGCAAAGATCCGAGTGAAATACAGACTAAGACACACGGCTAACCAGGGACGATGACCCTCCATCCATAACACAGATGAGGTTAACCAAGATCGCAGGTCTTGCGATAAGACTAACAAACAAGCAATTAAAGTAACAACCAGAGCCATCGCTTATCAAGTTCCCATTATGTGGATGGTTAGCAAATAAAACTGGATACATCTAGTGCCCAAGTGTTGTTGGTTGCAAATTTTACAAACATCCAAGCGATCACCGTTTCATGAATCCTAAAACTGTTATTATGTGGAAGTAAAACAATGAGGAGAATTACTTAGACATGTACATTTTATGATACGAAACATAAGGAAGAAACACTTACAGCTATCGCGCATGCTACATATCCAGGTTTTTCTCTGTAGTCCACCCGCACACAAAGTAAGATGAAAGTTCCAACATACCAGGGGACGCCTCCAAGAAAGAACCCTGTTATAAACCTTCAGAAAGAGTCAAAATGTAATCTGTCAGTATTCAGCAACAGCCAGCCAGAAGAAAGCGGAAGGAACAATTCTTGTAAGTCAAAAATTTAAAATTTCATAACAAAACATCAAAAAGGCTTTTTCTTGTCGTGATCCTATGATGAACTCCGGAACTAGTAGAACTCCCCAAATTAAAAGTTCATAACTTGTCCAACAAATTATCATCCGATTATGAACCGCTTCCTGTAAGAACATATCGCATCCAACCATGTAAACTACTTAAGACCAGAAGCTAGCACCAAATTCAGAATGGTATTCGTTCGATACCTGGTTAAACTATTTCATCCTTTTACGGTGATTAGTACAGCCACAGGTGATGTTCAACCCACAAAACAAACTTATTTTGTATTGGTTTCGATCCCGATAGCTTTCCATCCTAATTCTTGACTAAAAATCTTCCATAACCAATATGTTTTGTGGGAAATTTATGAATTCTTCTGAAGGTCTCAATGCCTTGAAACACAAAAACAAAGGAACCCAACAAATAAAAACTTGGAGTAAAGATTGAAAGCGAATGAATAAACTTACAATAACCAGCCTACGCCGATGCCGCAGCAAGGAAGGCGGCGTTCACTAACAGGTCTTCCCTCCACAACAGCGTAACCTTCAAACCACAAAACCCTAATTTAATAAAAATAACAACAAATTAATAAGAAAATAAAAACTCATACCAGTGACCGTTTGGTATCCATGTTGGTGATGGTGGTGGTGATGGGGAGGCGAGGGAGGACGGCCGGAGTAACCGGGAGGTGGGACCGGCTGAGGAAAACCGACGACCGGCTCAGCTGGAGGCTGTGGAGGCGGAGGGTAGTAGTTGGCGACACCTTGGAAAGTGCCGTAGTACTGCTGCTGGCTCTGGCTCTGGCTCTGGCCCTGCTGGTCGCTGGAGAGAGTTCTGGTCTTGGAGTTGTCGCTCATTGTTTCGATCCCCAATTGATAATTTGGGGAGGATGGAGGGTTTCAATCGCCAATGGGCGGTGGTTTCAATTTCTTGATTGGCTCAGCTGGCAGCTTTGGCAGCCTGGCGGGATCGTAATTTTGCTGGACTTCGGGCCCATTTTTATTTCATATTTCGGGCTTCTATCTTTTGGGCCTCTCAAAGCCCATGCGACCAGAGTCTTGGTGTGGCTTGGGGGCCCATGGTATATTTCAAGGAAGCATAAGGTCATGATGAGATACTCAACCATCTATGTGACATGGTCCTTATACTCCTACGGGTTAGACTCGGTAGTCGGAATTGTCCATTGTGTCCGAATTTGAGTCTTTGTTATCGTAAATTATAGTTTGACATATCTAAGTGGAATGAATTTAAAAACCGCATCATAAATAATTGTGAGTTTTACATTATCCACATCATTATTTAACAGATAAATTGGCAAATTTTTAAGGCTTTTCAGCTAAAATAGTCCCTGATGTTAGCATAATTCCTCACTTTGGTCTTTAAGATTTGAAATCGATAGAGTCGATCCCTGAGTTTGTTCACCATCAATCATTTTGGTCATTTCTTGAAAAATCTTTGTTAAAGAAGGACAAAAATAACCTTAATTTTATAAACAACGGGCCAAAATGATTTGACAAAAATTTGAGGGTATTTTTGTCGTTTCCTCATTATTTAACAGAGATTTTCATGCGGATAACCAAAATGATTGATGGTGGACCAACTCAATGACCAATTCTATCGATTTTAAATCTTAGAGACCAAAGTAAAAAATTATGCATATCTCAAAGACCCAAATAATCCATGTGGCGCTAAATTATTCATAATTTGTCCCCATTGCATGAAAATGATGGGTAATAAATGTCAATTGCCTAAAGATGAATATGAATGTTGCCATAATATATGTGGTAACATCATTCATTTCTTTCCCAATCACACCGTTTTCTTTGATCGAATTATATTTGTATAAGTATTAAACTGTGATTTGTATATGAATACAAATAATTAGTTACATGTAAGGAGTCAACCGTCTCTGTTTGACTACAAATAGACAGAAAGCATACGAAAAAGTTTTTTAGTTTTCTGGAAAGATCGAGTTGACAAATATAAAAACTTCTGACCAGAAAACCACACATAAACAATTTGAACCTTTGAATAATAATATAAAGATTGAAAGCAACATCGTGAGAGTGGACAACTTGAACACAAACATAATCTTCCTAGCAAAAAGAAAAATACAAACAATAAACTAATCCTAATTAACGTGCATGCGTCCTTGCAAATGATGTTGTGACAACAATATTTAGCTTTTGATAATTTAATCTAATTAAATCCATATATTAAGGACCACTCACACATCATCACCACACAAAATTTTTGTTTATTAAAATTTTCAGTTTTTTCAATCAATTGTAACAGCACTACCAACCATTAAAACTGCAGCTGGGTTGCAGTATTTATACAATTGCATTGCGATTGGTAAAAATAAAAAATAAAAACGAAATATTTATCAAATAACTCCTTACTTAGTTTGCGTAGTCTAAGCCGGCCGGCCGGTCAAGAAACCCGTTAAAGAGAGATGACTTTTTACTGGTGAACCAATAGGCAAACAATGGATCCAAACCAGTGGAATCACATTGTTATGTCGCAAATCATATACTGCTATGTATTGTCATGCCGCAGACCATAAAACACATGCACGCATGCATACAGGTCCTTGACAGCACCATGTAACTTTGCAGAAACCCTAACCCTAACCCTAAAAAGGAACAAGTTTGTCCAACACAAACACAGCAGCAAGCAAACGATTCGTTCCGCTTTCCTCCTCTTGTCGCACACTTTTAAAAGCAATCTGTCTACAAATTATCTACTGTACTGTAACAGTACTGATGAACTTTTTACCTATTCGAGTCATACTTTGTAGTAAATACATACGACAGGGACTGGCACCAGCATGCATGCAACTTCTTTGATTTGGGGAAAGGATCCTCGCGGGATCCTCTTTGTGGAGATCGGGGATAAAACAATCATGATCGTTCATCGTATATCATGTAGTCATAAATTATTTTAAATTTTAAATTTAAAATTGAATATAAATAATATATAACTAAAACAGATCTCACAATATACGATGAACGATCGTGATTGCTTTATCTCCCGAATCCCCACAAAGAGGATCATTTTCCTTTGATTTGATCGCATGCAGCTGACCATTTGTTGAGAAGTGGCTCTTCTATCACTTTATAATTAAACATTAAGTTTCGTGCTAATATTATAAAATATTATGTTAAAAATATGAGGGAACATAATTGATAAAGAGTCCCTCCTTATGAGTTATTCGATTTAGTCGCATGACTACTAATTTTATACTAATTTTATACGCTTGTTACTGGAATTGCTCGAGATAAGTTCTCTCTCTTTAAAGAAAAAAAATTAGTGTGCTAGAAATACAGCTCAATAGACCCAATTTTATAATAAAAATGGTTATATTTATTTTTCTTCAAGTATCTAATGACTTATATTATGATACTTTATGTACCTGTTTTCAACTCTGTTGAAATTCTCTCCACTCATTGCATGCATTGATGGCACTTTTATCGTCACGTACTACTTAGACTGTTGTTATGTCATGGTTTAAACGTTCAAGATAAACAAGGCCAACAAACAAAACAATTAAATAACATCCACCAAATCGACGTAACAATACACACTTTTTCCAAAGAATCGTGGCCCTCCATCTCAAACAGCTATACACAAATAAGAAACCCACAATTGAACGCACGAAACGACGACGGAAGAGCACGTTGTTTGACCGGACCCTAGAAACTTCTTGTAAACCTTAAAACGAACAAATTAAATCCGATGCAGCCGGGGCATTTTTGACCAATCGCTCATGGCGAAGAGGCGGAGGGGAACCGCGTGCATCTCGGGGACAGGAAAACCTTGCAGTCGTCTTTGGGGCAGATAGTCGGGACAAACTCGATGTCATCGCAGCCGTCCGTTCTGTGCCTCCTGAAATCAATCAACGTACAGAACATCGCGATGAAGAGTACAAGGTGGTTCAAAGCGTATCTCTGGCCCACGCACTGGTGGGCCCCGGCCCCGAACGCCAAGTAATTTCTTTTGTAAACCCGGTCCTCATGCCTCTCGTCCGAAAACCGGTCTGGGTCGAACAGCTCCGGCTCCGTGAACCCTTGAAAACATGACTCGAAAGCCGAGGGGAACACAATGGTGCCTTTAGGTATCGTTTGGTATGCAGACGGGACGGGACGGAACGGAATGGGACGGGACGGGACAGGACAGGACGGAACGGAACGGAGCGGGAGCAAAGATGCCCTCGGATGGAAACAAGGAGGAAGAAGAAGGAGACGGAGAGGTTATAATTTTGTGTTCCACGGATGTGGAACGAGTCGTTCCAGGGGGGTGAGGCGGAACGAAAATTCACCCAAAACTCGTCCCTTGGAACAGCTCGTTCCACCCGTTTTAGGCGCACCAAACGTGGGACGGAACGCCTTGTCCCACTCTGTTCCGTCCCGTCCTACGTACCAAACGGTACCTTAGGGATCGTATACGTCTCCGTTAACGGAAAGTCAACGGCAGCAATGTGCGGGACCATCGTCGCTGGAGCTCTGTACCTCACCACCTCGCGCGCCACCGCGTGGGTGTACTTCATTTTCGAGAGCATTTCAGCCGTTATCGGAGAGTCCCACTCCGGCGACCAAATCCCAGCTACTTCTTCGCGGACCTTCTCCAGGACCTCCGGGTGCGAGTCGAGCAGCGTCACCGCCCACAGCAGCGACGACGTCGAGGCGTCCTGAGCCGCGAAGAGGAAGTCGAATAGGTGCGCACCTATCTCGGCTTCGCTGGCGTGAGCCGGAGCCGGTTTGATCGACCCAGTTTCACCTACGGTTCGGTGCTCCTGAACCGTTTCGTGCATCCAAAAATCGATTAGACAAGTAGGCTCGACGTCGTCGTCTCCATTTTCCATTCTCTTCCTGCTCTCTTTGGCGCAATCCGACAGCGTTTCGACTAGTCGGCTCACGGCGAGTCGAGCGTTTCGAAAGGCGAAACCGGGAGGTCGATCGGCAGCTTCATCAGGCCGACGTTGAAGAAATTGTAATCAGACTTGAACCGCTCGCGGGCGGCGGGGTCCAGGTAGGGACCGACGAAGACGGTCTGGGAGGTCTCGAGGTTCATGTCACGGACCAGGAACCGCAGCGGGATCGGGTCCTGGCCGGACAGTGACGAAATTCGGAGCCAGTTCCGCATGTGTCGGAGGATAACGTTCTGCTGGAGCGCGGTGTAGGTGGAGAGGGCTTTTGGGGTGAAGTTAGGAGCTATACGACGTCGTAGGTCCTTGTGGGCTTGGCCGGTCATGTAGATGAGGTTGTGTTCCCCGAACAGTTTTTTGCCGAAGGGGTGGCCCACGAGGGCGAAGGCGTCGGGGCGGACGTTGGCGAAGATTTTATGGGAGAGGTTGGTGTCGCGGACGAAGAGGAGGAAGCGGCCGAAGATGTAGTTGGCGGAGAGGCCGACGGGGGACGACTTGGCGAGAGATGATTGGATGTCCCAGAAGCGGGTCGGGTTGCAAACTAATGGGATTGCGTTGCCGAGAAAGGGGAGGACGACGGTGGGTCCCGGGAGGGAGCCTTTTTTGGAGAGATAGGAGAGTTGTTCGAGGAGGAGGAGGAAGAGGAGGAAGGTGGCGGCGTAGGGGAGGAGCGAGAGGAGTGACGTCGCCGTCATCGCCGTCGGGAGGGAGTTTATAGTTTGTGTTTTGAGAGTGTGTGGGTGGGTATAAATAGTAAGGAAGGGCCGGGGAGTCTAGGAAGAAAAAGTTGGGGTAGGAAGAGACGGCATTTGTTGTTGCAAGTTCTGGGCTTTCTCCGACTGAAAATGTAGTTTGAAGCTGTGGGAGGAGAATATTATATATATACGGTGGCGGTGTGGGGCGGAGGTCCAGTTGGATAGCCGAGGAGGCTGACCTAGATAATTCAATTAATTAAAATCTTGTTGTAAATAAAATATTTTATTGATAATATATATAGTTCAAACCCTCGTGTTATTTTTTCAAAGCTATATTTTAATTTAATTGACTCAAGAGAAAGGAGATTCGAACTTAAGTATGTTGTCCGATAATCAACTTTACAATGATTATATTTCGACTACACTCTTATACTACAGGGTTCCGATTAAGCTTTCATGTTTTAATCGTATTAAAAAAATAAAAAAACTAGTCGTATATATAATGACAAATTTTGACAAAAAGAAAAATATAATTAGAAATTAAATGTACAACTATAATATAGTGGATGGTTGAATAATTTAGTGGAAATAAAAATTAAGAAAGTGAGCGTTGGCAATAATAGTAGAAGAAACAAATTTGATGTATGGATCAATGACAAGTCCATGCACATGCAGTTGCAGTACGACAATGACCAATCGCAGATCTAGAAAATATTACGGGGATCAATAAGAATAATATGAGCAACAAGCAAATTTTTTAGGATGAAATAAACATGCAAATCGGTATTTCATCGAGTCTTGGTATGTCTAAGGTTATTTGCTAAGTTATATTGCATGTATGTTGACATATGTCAATACCTTCCAAACGAGCATGTTGACTGATGTCAATAGTTTTTGAGCGAGCATGTCAACATATGCCGAGTGAACCTATTGAAAAAAAGACAAGGCTAGCAACTACCCTACCCAGTGCCCATAAAGGCAATTCATCGAGCAGTTGGAGTTTAACTTTTAAAGACATCTCAGATTTCAAATGATAGCACCTAGCTCTTTCATATAAAATTTCTAAGCTTGGGAGGGGAGCCAACTGACCCATCTTGCCCCAAGGTGGATCCGCGCACCTTTGACAGTAACAAGCCCACACACATGCAATTGCAATACATAATTTGATGTATGAACAATAATTCTTAACATACATTACAGAGTGTGTTCCATAAAAATGTATGTCAAAAGTTTTTTTCGGTAAACAAATGTATGTCAAAAGTTATGAAAAAAAAACGTCATAAATCCGCCCTACGTGTCTATATGTCCAATACATATGTCCAAGCTTACACTGGATGCATGGGGCATACTTATTAATTCACGAACAAGGATTATCTGCCCTCCCCATGCTTTCATGTTTTGTGTGATCACGGTTAAGCCACGTCAACATTTTATATTGTTTTTTTATAAAGATAATAAGACAAAAATAAATAGTAATATAAAATGTTGACGTGGCTTAACCGTGACCACACAAACAGGAGGGCACCGGAAGTGGAGGGCAGGCAATCCTTGTCGTCCTTAATTCATAGCGTGGAGCTTATTTATTAATTCACAGCATGGAGGGCGATGGCAAGGCCAACAGGATCCTCTTTGGATCCTTTTGATGAGGATCCTGGGGATCCGTAAATCATGTCCGTTCATCGTATATGGTACAATCAGTTTTTGTCAAGTACTGTTTATATTTATTTTTAAATAAAAATATTTAAAATGATTTCTGACCGCACAATGTATAATAAACAGACACGATTCATGGATCCTCTGGATCCTCACAAAGAGGATCCGGAATCATGGCAGAGGTTGCAATGTGAGCTTATTTATTGTAGAACAAATCGAACGAAGGAGGTTAAAAGCCAAATTCACGAGAGAATTTTTAGTGTGTTAACATGGAATGGTACACCACATGTCAAGTAGTGAGATACTTTTAAAAAATTAACAACTTAAAGAATAAATTTTTTTCACCACTTAAATAATAATATGTAGTATGTCACTCATGTTCCAAACACAGTACAAAATTTCTCAAAATCCACAACATGTGTGAAAAACAGAGATAAATAATGGAATTCGTTGCAATATTAAATTTCTTTGTTGTATTTTCGTGCAGTATTCAACAATAATCACACTAGTTCTTTAATGAGGTTTATCTAACCCTAACAAGTAAGGTTCTATAAATCAAAAGATACTTCATTTTATTTTTGTGCAATTTTCGTGCAAGTAAGGTTCTATAATTTCCGTGCAATTGCACTCAAATAAAACCAACAACTCACATAAAAATAAGAATTAAGTACCTAAAACCGCTTAACCATTTAGCGTCATTCTAAATTGGTCTCAACATTTATTAAACATTTCCTACAAGTACCCATCATATTAAAAATGTCACATCTGTTAAGTTTTAATTAATTTTTCAATTTAATGTACATGTGGCAATGGTGGGTCCCACTTTTTAGCTTGCATGGAGACAAATAATAATAAAATTAAGTTCCAAAAAAGACATGAAGATGAAAAATTAAAAATAAATAAACAAAATTCACATTGAAAAACAAAAACAGGGACATATCAAGTCCCCACCACCTCCAAGCTCAACCTACGACCACCGCCTTACCCCTAACCTTTATATTCAAAACTCACAAACTGGGTATATCATGGTTAACATTGATATTAGTTGCCTCAACAACTAAATTTCAACATGCATTATATATTATGGAACCCAGTGGTCAAATGGGTATTGAATTGAATCGAAAATGGACCCAAATTGAAAACATATCAGGTTTTTTAACAAAGAAAATGGTTAAAGAATTCATATAGGTTTTCAATGAGCTTATTCCTACTCATGTGATTTCCTTATTTGTTGATTTTCAGCTCGTAAAACTTACAGTTCTTCTTTGTAGTGTAGGCAATGAAAATGGACTAGAATTGACAGAGCCCAAATCGTTTGACCTAACAAACAAAGTCCGATCCAATTTTTTGGTTTATCAAAACCAAATCGAAACCGACTTAATTTTTCAATTTATCAAACAAAACCGATACCAATCCAAATTTTCACACAAGAGTTATATAGAAGTAGACCTTTACGTGCCCGGATTATTAATCGTACGCCATCATTTATATTCTTAATTACTTGATAAATGTAGCCCATAGAAAATTATAGAACCTTACTTGCACGAAAATAAAATAAAATATGCAATTTCCGTGCAAGGAGGGAGAAAATCATCTAAACACCATGATGGGGGTACCAATGCAGAGGGAGATTGGATCAACAACTGCAAGCAAGTAAAACGAAATAGACCAAAAGATACTTCGTTGCAGACCACAATAGCAGAGTAGATAACAAAACAAAACTTCAAGAGTCACAAAACTCTTTCCGAATTAATTGAAAATAAATCTTTTGAAGAAACTTAAGTCAAAAGCTACATAGTTTCGAAACTGAAAGTAACAGCGCCTAATTTCGGAGTAACATAATCCAACTGAGGCACGGCGACCACCATGACAAGCAATTCTGAACAGATAAGAGGTGCAAGCTTACAGCCTCCTTCCTCTCCTTCCACCCTTTCTACGGGTGCTATCAGTAGGTATTGGAGTCACATCCTCTGAAAAACAATATAAAACGAACTGTCAGCGTTCTGTACTCAGATAAAGATGGTTGCAGGAAGAAAATCAAAAACTGTATATAAGCAATGCTGCGTAACTTTTACAGAATAATCTTAGAAACTTGTACCACGACAGACAACTTGCAAATACAGATTGGCCGATTATGAGAACATGAACAGCAGAGACAAAACTTGCATTTTTGGACAATATGACAACATTCTTTAAGAAATTAAGGGCTTACCTATACGACCAATTCTCATTCCAGAACGAGCAAGAGCACGGAGGGCAGACTGAGCACCTGGACCAGGTGTTTTAGTTTTATTGCCGCCAGTAGCACGAAGCTTAATATGAAGTGCAGTAATGCCCAATTCCTGCATTCATCAAAGTTAAGCACATTAAATGGCAGCAGAAAAAAAAAATCATAAAACGAGGAGCCGTGACAATGGGAATGATCCAACAAAATGGCCCAGATGAACTTTGACAAGAAATACGATCACTTCAAGAATACAAAGAATAATACACAAAGTGTATTGAAAATAGATCAAGACCTTGCATCTCTGTGCAACATCTTGTGCTGCAAGCATAGCAGCATATGGGGAAGACTCATCCCTGTCAGCCTTAACCTTCATACCACCTGCATTTAAAGATATGAAAACTTTATGAAACACAACAGATCACTATTCATAACAAAACATCTCAATAAACAGGTGGCCAAATTCATCTCGCTACAATTACAATTATTCTAAAACATTATCTACAATACATTCTTTGAAATAAAACTAGTAAATATACCAAAGTGTTCACTAAACGAAACCACTATATGATCCCACGGTGTCTGAAATAGAAAAGTCTATCTAGCTGATCTTAATCCTAGAAGAGAGAATTTCCTTACCAGTGATACGCACAAGGGTTTCCCTTCCTGACAGATCAGTTACGTGCTGAAACATAAACAAGGAATCAACATTAGAACCAGAAACATCGACAGAATGAATTACGCATAACATGCCTAGTAACAGATAAATTTACTTACAATGAACGTGTCATTGAATGACGCATAAATGTGTGCAACACCAAAGGCATGTTCTCCATCCTTGAGAATGGGACCAAGGGTAACATTGTCTTCCTTTGGCTCCCTAACCTTCTTCTTCGACTGTAGAACACATCAAAACAAGAAAATGTCTAATATTCAATGCAGAGCAAATCATTAAATTTAGACCCACTTATCAAATTGAAGTTTCTGTCTTTAGCGCAAATTTCATCCGATTGAAAAACAAACATTTGAACCATCCACTACAAATAACAATATTTTCAAAACTGAAACATAAAACAATCAAAGTAGAATCGACAAGTTTTGATGTTGATAAATTACTTTCATTCCTATCAACAACAAAAAATGAACTTATCACGTCAGACCTTGATTAGTATATGCATACAACTAACAGATAAAATCCCAAATCAAACCAAGCTCACAAATTGATTACAACCTAATTAAAACACCTCATTATCTGCATTATAACCCACCAATTAAACATTTAAATTGGGTATGTTAACCTTGCATCTAACTTAATCACAAGGGTTTCGTTACGATGAAGACAGTAACAAATTAATCAAATTCAGAAAAAAAGAACCCAAAAAAACAGATAACAATAATCCATTTGCACCGAGTGTTAAGCATTCGAAAATCGAAACGCAAATAAAAAACCCAATCTGCACAAAACGAAGATCTAGGGTTCTTGATCTGAAGCATAGCTACAGAAAATGGAAGACTGGGGATTGATACACACCACCAAAGCTCACAGATTGAATTATGAACAGAGGCAGATGAAATCGGAGACGAAATACTTGAGAGAGAGAGAGAGAGATTGGAATTGAGATTTGCTTACCATGGCTGCGAAACGGGGAGAATTGGGGGCTAGGGTTTGGAGGAGTCTGCTGGTTGCTTTGGCCGACTGGAAAAACCCTAAGTAGTGAGAAGAATGAGGGCTTGTGTTGGCGCTTTCCTTTTATATCCGAGAACAAACTAGGGTTCTGTGTGAAGCGAGTAAAGACTTTGGAATTTGCGGAAATATCCCTTGATTTATTAAATATTGTGATTTACGCACCTTAATTTTTCGATTTTTACTTAGAAATAAAATAAGGATTCTCTCCGGATTCCTCTTTGTGAGGATCTTAGGGATTTTTAAATCGTATCCTTTCACTATACAATGTGTGACCATAAATCATTTTAAATACCGTTATTTAAAATTAAATATGAATAGTACCTAACGAAAACTGATCGCACGATGTACGATAAATGGACACGATTTGGATGCAGTCTCAAGAAAGTGTGCACTGCCTTCGAGAATTAGAACCATTGAGGTTCCTCAAATCGTGTCCGTTCATCGTACATCGTGTGACCAGAAATCATTTTAAATACTTTTATTTAAAATTAAATATGAATAGTACCTGATGAAAATTGGCCTCATAATGTACGATGAACAAACACGATTTGAGAATTCCTAGGATCCTTACAAAGAGGATCCGGAGAAGATCCTCCTCAAGCAAGGAATCAATAATATGTACATTTGGGACTGGGTTTGTTCCTCCTCAAGCAAGGAACATCCTTTTATTTGACACTAGAGACCTTGGGTGTTCTCGAGACTTATTTTTAATATAATTTATTTTCTTGCTAAAAATCACTAACTAAATAATATCGTTTGTTAAAAAAAAAGAAAAAAAACACAGTAGTAGATACATGCTAACCACTCGTTTGATCGTCCACCGACTAAATCAATAAGTGTTTTAAGTTCTTTTTGGCACAACCAGAAAATTGACATATAGTGTTGTAAAAAAAAAACCAAAATGCTCAATGCACTAGCAAATGCATAAACGATTTCAGCTTTCAGTAAAATTTGTACGATGATATATGACTTACAAAATAAACAATTCAGATCAAAATATTCAATGCACGTCCATATTTGTATTCCGTAACTTGCGATAAAGTTGAAAGTCCAAAACAGACTTAAGAGGGCTATACCGATAAGCACGGCCCAATTTTATACTTTGACTTTCGTTAGCAAAGTTTGGCATACAAGTTTGAAATGTACATATATAAACTCTATTTTCTCAGCAACCTCAACAATTACAGAATAAACATTAGAAACAAACATATAAACGATAATTTTAGTAAATCCTAGCTACAAAGAATGGTAACAACGTTCAAATGCTATGCAGAAACGAGGCCGAGATAGCCAGCACACAACGCCAGTGTGGACGATATAACGTAAGCACCAGCAACAATGACTGGTTCTTTTAATCCACATAGTTCAAGGTGGTGATGGAAGGGTGCCATTCGGAAGAGCCGGCGCCCAGCTCCGTGTAAACGCTTGGTTGTCTTGAAGTATAATACCTAAAAGTACATCAAATATGAGTTCACAGTAAAACTGAAACCATGTATGAAAGTGAAACACGTCCATTTGCTCGAATCACGAAACAAAATCAGAGACACGCTATATGTTGAATGTCATGGGTACCAAACCTGCAAAATAACTGATGAGGCTTCCATGACAAAGACTCCAGATGAAATAAATAAGGGAAAGAACATCCCCGTGCAACAAGCCATTGCAGCTAACCCTCCACCAAGTGCCAGGGATCCGGTATCACCCATGAATATAGATGCCTTGTATCGGTTGTGCAAAAGAAAACCGACACAAGCTCCTGCCATTGATGCTCCAAATATAGCAAGGTCTGTTTCATATGAAAATAAATAATTAGTACTAAAAAATTATGCTGAAGAGACATGTTTTTCTTTATCATTGACAACCCCAAGTTAAAAATCCAAACCCTTGGTGGGATTATGCTACTGGAGGTGCAACATGCCTTTAGATTCTTTATGTGAAGTGTGAACTCAAAAGCAGCATAATTATATCGCGTGCAACATAAAAAGGACATAACAATGACAACTACACTGACCAGAACATATTGGAAGCACTGCAATCGACATTCCTGCAAAAGCCAATGCAGCAGACCCTCCAGCCAGACCATCAAGACCATCAGTTAAGTTAACCCCATTTCCCATAGAAACGAAACAGAATGAAGCCAACATTAAATAACATTTTCCCAGGAACACAAGCCCTAGTGCAGGTAAAGGAACCAACAGTTTCCTGCATTCAGAAATTAAAGATCAACTTGAGTAGAAGCACCATGAGTAAAGCATTTATTACATAGAAGCAGGAGTGTAACTTAGCAATGACAATCCGAAATCAAAATGTCCCACTATCGGCAAGTTAAATTCGGTGTGTACGGTATCAATCTCAAATGAGCTACAAATATACGACCCATTGAAAATGGAAAGTTTTAACAGTACAACAAAAACAACCAAAAAAGAGAGAAAATTGCAAGAGACCCTTTTTGTGAAAGACTGATAAATAAGAACCAAACACAAGTTTGATATTTTCTTTTAAACTCAACATCGTAAGAACAGAAATGTGAGTTACCATCAGAAAAATAGTTAGAAGAAGATATACATGCCATAGGGTGATGATATATTTGCGGTATGCAACCAATACGAAAACCAGGTTCCAACAGCTACCTGCATAATAAGCATAACTTAAATATTGCTAAAAAGTTTAATAGAACTTAAAATCAACTCTTAGATTAACCAGAAATCCGCACATAAAGTTTGCAAAAGAATAACTCAATAGTCAATTCACCTCCAAAATAATTTTTGTCCATGCAGATAAACCAGTGTTATGTCTCTTGACGAGGCTTAAGATATCATCAAGCAGACCAATTGCAGCAAATGCAAGAGTTGCTGCAGCTGCTCCAGAAACTTCAACAGAAGAAAACCCGGCAATAAATTTCGCAACAATTACACCGATTGGTATAAAAAATAATCCACCCATCGTGGGAGTTCTTTTCTTTAAGGAGTGCCTTGCAGGCCCTTCTTTTCTGATAATTTGACGAATCTTCAAAACATAGAGTAGGGGAACACAAACATATCCTGCGCATGAAGCTAAAACGGCTGATACAAAAAAAGGGCAGGTCAAGTGAAATGGGGCCAAAGGTAGTCTAACAATCCTCCATGCACACGAATCCACATATAAAAGTAACATCACTAAGAACAGTATCAGTCCCATGTTGAGCAATACTCCATGTCTAACCCTGCAAATGTAGAGTGAAAAAGACAATCAGACAAAGAAAGACGCACATATATCACTAGTTTAAGCACGTGAATAGGTTCCCGTCAAATAACAAATAATGACTTCTCATTGTAGTGGAAATTTTGGACCAGTCTCTAAATGTCCAATGAATTCTAAACTTTTGAATAACTAGTAGAAAAAAGCCACATATTGTCACTCAACACACTCAAAAACCTTGTGTAAATTGCAAACACCATTTTATCAACAACTTTAAAATACCATGGTTTTCAATCTATATGTTTTTTTTTTGTAAAATTTTGTATATTGGTTGTCAAAATCTATCAAAACACATGGTGATCATAAAAAACTGAAGTTTGAGTTTTTCTTGAGCAACATCGATAGGTTGCAGTCAATATGCTAGAATTTGTACTTCTTCAAGTCTATGAACAGTGAGTAATTAATCAGATGGTAGACTTGCCTGTGTTTCCTACGCTGCCTTCCAAGCATTGCAAGCCGATGAGCAGTGACAGTCATAGCATCATCAGTTGATACAGTGATGGCAGGCAAATCAATATCAGCTACGGGAGTTACTATGAACTCTCCATCACTATCTTCACCGCTGGAATACATTATGTACCCTGTAGAGTCTTCATGGCCACCTCCCCAGTCATCAAGTGGTGCTATATCAGCTGCTTCCTGAAGGGAAAAAAAAAAGGCTTTTCATATGCATAAGCACTTGATAACATTTCACTTCTACAAAAAAAAAAAAAAAAAAAAAGCCCTTCAAACCCAATACTTAAGAAAAGCTCCCTGCCCACTTTGCAATGAGAGGAGGGCACCAAAAGAGATTTCGAACTAAGAATGAATTAGAACATGACACATATGTAGATGCGCGATTATTTCCCTCAAATTGAGTCTTTTAAGTGTTTAATATGGTTGTCCGGGTGTTTTTCCAAATTTCCTAAAACGGTAAAGCGAGGAGCTAATGTGTATGTGGAAATTCGGCATTTTTTGTATTCAAATAGTGAAAGTATGTTTCGATTCGAACAGATAATTTATTCAACGAGCATCCCAAAAGCACGAAACACTGATAGTTGATTCCAAAACAAATGTAAACTATAACTTCAAATTGTTATCAAAACCGAAATCTACTCAAAATACAAACCACGGATATGAACCTAACAGATAAACAACCGTCATTTTGAACAGAAGCTATGAGGCTTACCGAATCAAAAGACCCGAAATCAACAGAATTGTATCGGAATTGGCGCCCATTTCTCCGCCGAATCAACTGAAATTGATGATATATCACATCAGTATACATCAGAACAAGCATTTCACAGAAGAAAGAAACGAGTCTACGAGTGGCTTTCGAATTCACTCACAGATGACTTTCTCGGCAACCAAACAGAAATTACGAAACGAATCCACGATACCAGAAAACAAACCTGAAGATCGTATCGGACACCGGAGCTCCCGAACGAAAAGGTCGAAACGGATCGGCGGCGAATGGCGGTGCAGAGCGAGGGGGAGCAGTGGCGGGAGCGAGAGAGTTGAAGAGGAGAGAGGTGCCGGAGGCGAGTGAGAGAACAAGATGATGGTGACGTCATGTCTCAGCGGAAGAAGAAGGAGATGAAGACTCAGATCTCGGAGAGGTTGGTGAGTCCATTAAAAACCGGAGAGGACGAAGGGAATTGGACACTCGAGTTTTGAAGCTTTTTATACGGCAAAAAATTTAGAAGAAAAAAAAAAGAGCAAGGCCGGAGGGAATGCGAAAGAGGAAACCTGGAAATTCTCGCACCGGATCGAGTTTCTGACGAGCCGAATGGCGCGTGAGAGGGAGACGGCCTTTTCAGGCATGGACTATGGATTGGTTTGGTGGGGTCAGGTGTCACCTGAAAGAGGATCCAACATTTACCCTTTGAAATTCGATCGAAACATCTATAGTCAAAGGGCAAATTAGGTAAAACTCGATACTAGTAAGCTTTGGGGTTGTCAACTAACGAGTGGCAAACGTGTTGGATTTTCATTTCTTCACGACAAAAACCGATTTGGGAATGTTTTTATTGCTAAATGTTTTGATCGAATATGTCATGTCAAATAATTTCTCGATATTACAAATGTTAGTTAAGTCAGTTGATTAAACAATTTATCCGTTTACAGCCAACAGAAATTCGGATAACAGTTGATAGATGAATATTCACATAAGTCCGTCAGCATGAGTAGACGCATCACGGATCTACCGGATCTCAGTGCAATACATACGCAAACGTTATGAAACACAAAATCACTATAGGTCTGGTGATCAACCCAGTTGCTAACTCTGGGCTGTGCTCAGAGTCCGCCCTCGCCCCATTGTGAATCCCCTGGTTCCGTCAGGCATCCTTGGGCCGGGCGGTGGCTTCCAAAGTTCAATGCCGTGATTGGCCGAAGTAGTTCCATGACCTGGGAAACATTTTGGTTAGATTAAGTGAATAGAGTCGGAATCTATTCAAAATATTAGTTCACCAACGTACCAAATCCATTGGTCCCACGGTATTTTTGCCTTCCTGATAGCCCCCTATTTCGACCTCTATGCCCAGTTTTCTCCTTGGGAACTCGCTCTCCGTCCTAGAATGGCAGAAGCAAAAAGGTCAAAACTTAAAACCAGTCGAGTGTAATGAAACACTTGTATGGAACTGGATCCATCAACGACTCCAACAAAAATAACACCAATTGCTCATGAGCATAACCACCGCTTACCTCTTCATCAGTTGTCCGTGCATCATTATGTTTCACAATTACAGTATGATTCTCCTCGTCTCCTGTTTGATCATTACTTCTGTTGCCGCTACTCTTCTCAGATTCGAAACCCCTCCAGGGTTGTTTTCTCTGTCCATACTTCCCCTGATGTGAATAATACCAACATTAACTCCTCTTGTGGCCAAAAGTGAAGATAGAAAAATAAAAAGGAAAAAGTCAGGATCAAATACCACTTGTTTTAGACGCTTCACCCGCATGCCATTTCTCCAATCCTCTTCATTATTTAAAGTAGTGACCTGACACAAATCACCAGGAAAAAACTGTAAGCTAAGGATTGATTATCCGAGCTATAGAGAGCCGTATGAAAAATGATGATGATGTTGATGTTGATGATTATACCGTTGGAAAGAACAAACACTTACAGCTTTGTCAGCAGCCTCCACAGTATCATACTTCACAAGGGCATGCAACTGCGACAAAAACCAAGACACGTTACAAAAGGCTGCCGAAATATCTCAAAATTGTCTTCAGAAAGACCTCAAAACATAAGTGTAAAGACAGCGTTTGCCTCAGACCTACAAAGAACAGAAGACTTTCACCAACCACAAAAATCCCGATCATGGAAAGTGTATCTCAGTAACCGATCCCTCTAAATCAGCAGATTCAGATAATTAGCATGTACAATCATGCACATAAAATTTAGAAACCATACCTTATTACTAATCAGCTTCTTAGCCTTGCTACCTTTTGTAGACACTTCTATTGCATGTGGGTCGAGTATGTACAAATCTTTTATTCTGGAAAATTGAAAACCATGCCATAATCAAAATTGTAGAGAACAGTAATGTCACAGCATGGGAAAAACAGAAGAAGGAAAAGAACATACTTTCCAGCTTCACCAAGTATACTCTTAAGGTTCTCCACTGAATGATCCTCAGGTAGGTTCTCCACCAAGACAGTGCACTATAATGCGGAAATTAGATGCTTGAAGTTTTCCAAAAATAATACATAAAAATTAAGAACAAAATAATAATAAGAATAAATAAATAAATAAATCAAGTTCGAAGGGATACCTTTGGATCCTTGTTTTCAGTTAATGGAAGGGGATGAATCCGTTTCACCTTCTTCCCATTCGAACTCACAACCTAAAAGAAGGAGATTTATGCTTATCTTTTTAGCATATTCGTGATTCAACTTGCACTTAATTTTTTTAAAGATAACAAAATAAGAACATTACAAGGAGGGAAGACTCCCTCAATGCAGCTGCTATTGACGAATTGTTTTGGATGAGCTTTTTCATTTTTCTAAAAGAAGCAATAACTGAAATTGGAACTGCAAAAAGATATGCCAATGGTTAGTGAAAACTGTTAACATGACAGGGTGAAGAAAAGGAGACTACTTAATAATTTTTCAATTTGTTACAACTTACAACCAAGATTTTTTACCACCACAGAAGAAGCAATTTGATGTACAAAAAAATTTCAGTGCCACACGGATTTGCAGCTAGTGTTTAATACACTCACATACACAAGCAGAGGAAGGAGATAACGAAGTCGAAAAAATAATAGGGCAGTTTTCATATTCCTGCCACTAGAAAAGCAATCACCCCCTTTCTCAGAAGTGATAAATCACCAAATTAGAAACAAGAATAACCAAGAGGAATGAAAAAAATGTTTCTAATTCTGAAAACTGCTTTAGCAATAGAATTTAATGAATAGAGAAGGAATCAGTCAGCAGTCAGTTGCATGGTCATTCAACGCCAACCCCAGATGCTCGGCACAACCAAATTTGGCTGCACCAGGAAAACACCCAGGCAAGGCAAGCTGTCAGAAGTACCTGCTTTACTCATCACCTTCGTCTTCTCTACTCTACTAAAGCCAGATTTTATTAACACAAACATTATCAACACTATAAACTTTCAGCACCCGTAAAGCATGTAGAAAATGACATATAAAACGCCTTGGAATATATTGGTTTAGATAGATCCACATCCAGCCACATGAACTGGAGGTAAGTCAAACAAATTGCAAATCAATTTGTTGCTTGGTAATTTCAATACTCTATGATTGCCAAATGGAGGAATCTGCATGAGATTAATTCTACTTTGGATTATTGAGGATGAGTTTCTTCACAGACCTTTATCTTATAGACCTTTATCTTATTTTATTAAACGAGTAGTTAGTCTAATAAAACACTTGGAAAAATAGTAATGCCCCTGCAAAGTTTTATTGGCGCATTACGTAGATCAAGTGATTAAACCAGCAGGTGGGCAAAGTTCATAGACAACTATAGCATGATACAATAAGATTTTGTTTAAAATGACTTTTCCTGCATTCGTCTTTGAAAAATGTACCACTGCATCAATCACGGAAGAAGAAATAAGAAGCCATTAGGGGTACAACATGGGAAAGATATTTGCTAAAGTGGGCAGTTATCAAATCAGATGAAAAACTATGCATGTTTCAGTTCGGTACAAAAAGCATCAAACCATTAAAACAACGTCTAAATCAAACAATAACGGTAACCACTCACCATAACCTTCTTTGTTCTTTTTAATCATACTCAACATATACTTGTCAGCGGGCAAGTTTTCATCGCTGAAATAATATTCCACCTGCAAATCCACAAAGAATTGAAAAACAAACCTCGCATGAGAACTTAAAATTAGTATAGCAACATTTACAATGTCAATTAGGAATACTTCGTTTTCTCCCTCCCTTTACGTTTACTCAAACACTTTCTTAACCTCGCTGTTTGGTTAAAGATCAATGCGAGTTAAAATTTGGACTTCAGGGCAGCTAAAATTCGGTTTAATGGTTAACAAAGTGGGCACAGAAATTAGTACATTATGGTCTACACTAATGTGGCTTCAAAATGTGGTTCCAGATACGCACTCGATTCAAATTCACTTATCCCATGCGTATGCATTGTGGAAATCATTGTATCTATGAACAATTTTATTGCATTTATTTTATCAATTTATTACTTGTTCCTTCAATTTAGACCAAAGCAAGAAGGAATCAAGAACATAATTCCAACAATCGTAGAGCTACTCAAACAATGATAAATGTGGCTCTAGGGTTCATAATCAATACAACACATATTGCTAGGTCTATACAATATCAAATTATCAGCTCCAAATCAAATTCCTTCTATATATATATATATATATATATATATAGAGAGAGAGAGAGAGAGAGAGAGAGAGAGAGGGACCCTTGCCTGCTTAATAATCTTCTGTTTGAGATCCTCAGAGAGACCGCCAGTCCCACACGATTGATCAGGGTCATCATCCGACGGATGTGGTTGAATCTCAGAGGAGGCGCGACCGGGAGATCCAACGGGTGAGATATCAGAACCGTGCGGCGGAGACGGTGGGGGGGCGTCGGTGCCGCATGTGATGACGGTGGGGGTGGTGTCCGCGGGGGTGGCGGCGGGGGTCGTGACGGTGGGCCCCTCTTCGCCTTCCATTTGTGGAAAGCAGAAAGAGGAGGGGAGGAGAGAGAGGAGGGAGCGAACCTTTCAAAGGTTTCAAATGCGAGGACAGGCCCCCGCTCTTTCTTCTCCTAATTCTGTTTTCTTCCCCTTTCCACCTTTTTAGAGACCCAACCCCAAGTGATACGCATGACGTGTGATTAGGGCATTACCGTCATTTCGGTCCCTCCTTGTTCTTCAATTTTGTACCTTGCAAAAATAGCACTTGTAGTTCCATTTTGTCAATTTTATCAAGGTCAAATGTTTGCAATCCAATGATAAATTTTCTTCAGAATTTGGATCATCTATGGACTTTAGCGTCCAGAGCCTAAGGACCAAAAAATTCAACCATTGACTTGTGTGAGGTGAACCATCGAAATGGGTTAGCGGGACCATCAGAATCAATGGCTTGTATGGCAAATTTATGAATTTTCATTTCCAAGAGTAAGATGAAGCTAACATGTCATTTTGTTAATTATCTTGTACTTTGTCAAACATTTTGGTATTTTGGCATCAAACTACGTGATGATCACATACGATTTGTATTTTAAAAAACCAATCTATGAGCTTCTTTAAGGAAGATATCGACCCAATAGTACACACACATTCTTATATTGAACTTATGTCTCGATATGGACTGGAGATGGTAAGAACCATAAGAGTAGCGGAAGTGTTCTACCATTGAAATTAAGGAAAACAAATGAAAAAGATTTGAAAATTTTGAGTTTTAACGATAAAGACAAAATAAAGGGTAAAGTGAATAGTAATATAATTGATTTTTTAATGTAAAAATATGATTTTTCATTAAAATGAATAGTACCGGAAACTTTTCGTTAAAATTCTCTTAAAATTATAAGGCTGTGCGATCAGAATTACGACAATTGGATCAAGGAGAACACATTTCTCATTCATATAAAAACCATATAGTAAAAGCCCACATACAACTTGGTACTTGGGACTATTGTTTGCAACAAATCCCATGCTAGACGTACTAAAACCAAAACATTACATATGATAAACTTCCCTAGTAAACCCTAACCCTTACTAAACCAAAACCCACACAAAAGCCCAGAAAGCAAGCCCAAGTGCCACCCGGCCCGACCCACCGAGCCCATTTCTCCATGACCCGGAAAACCAAACCCGAACATCGTCCACCACAGGCCCACAGAGTGAGCTCATGTCATCAGTCCTGGTGTTGTAATACACACTGTAGAATGCAATCCTTGTCCTCTCAGCCTTGGCCGTGAAATTCACGCCGGCGGTTTGGAACGTGCTGTTGGAATTCGGTGTGTAATGGACGTTTTGCGCCTGGTCTCCGGCGAATGCCATGATGCCGAGAGGCTGCTTGCATTTGTCATTAGCATGGCCTAATGAGAAGGTCAAGGTGTAGGGCTTGTTTGGTGAAGTTTCAACCATTTGGGAAATGATGCCTTCTTTTCCAGATACCAATTCAATGGCCCGTTTGCCTTGTGGCACTGCGTAATGGTACGAGTCTATGTACCTAACAGCCCGGTTGGACTCAACGATCCAACCGGGTAAGGAAGAAGTTTCTTCGTCGAGGTTGGTTGGGAGCAGGACTCCGAGTGAGATGTTTGGAAACATCCATGGACCTTCCTCAAAATCACCATTGATCACTGCGTTGTCTGCACAAAATATGGCAACTGGTGAGAAAGTTGGTACTCTGGGATTGCTAGACTTTGCAAAACAAACAAAATTTATAGTCCAATCAAGATAAAGGTTGATCTTCTTTCATATGTCAGTTCAACACAAAATTTAACATCTTTACAACGATTTTAAAGAAAATGTTTTTGAATTTCAAAAACACTTGAAGCGTTTTTTAGAAAAAACGCTAAAAAACACTTTTAAGTATTTTTTCAAAATTCACTTGCCTTTTAAAAAAACTTCTAAACAAGTCCTTATTTATCTCTTGGTTGCATAGCAGCTCTCTCCGGCACATGATTAATAATGTGATGAGAGAAAACAAAAAAACAAAAAAAATAGAGGTTGGCATACAACAAAAATAGGAAAGGCATCTATTAAAGTTCAAAGTCACGACAATTTTATGACTGCTTTAAAATAATATCAATATGTCACAATGACATATTCCGTTGCATCAACTTTTGAAATTCACTCCCATCCTCACTTATTTGACAAGAAAATAATATTGGATTTGTCGGCGAAGACAAAGTTTTGGATCACGACTTTTGAATGTCATTGGACAATCCCCTCCCCCACATAGTGGATCCTAAGTTCTTAAAGCTTCACATCATTTTTGGACACGTGTACAAAGTTTTTTTACTTTTTAACCTTTTAAGTTAATGGGCCAATAGGGTTGAGGAATAAAAGTGTAGAATTTGTAAGGAAATTTTTCAATGTGATCGGAACACAAGAAAATACATCAGTGTTATTATAAAAATTATGAAATATGTATGTTAAAAAATTAATAATTTGAAAATATAATTTTTCATCATTTATATAAAAATACATGATGTACTATATGTGCTCCGATCATAATAAAAAAAATTTCAGTAGAAGAAGAAGTTTACCTTTGGGCCTATCAGGGGTAAAGAGTTTCTTCATAGCAACGTCATCGATGATGGGCCCACACGTGGGGTCATCCTCCATGCCGGGATTCCTGAAGACCAACATCGCATCATCCTCCTCAGCCTCGAAGGCCCACGCGTAGGGGTCCCACCCCTGCACGTTGTACAAGGTCTGCAGGTCTATCGTCTGCGACGCAGGTGGCACGGACACGTTCAGCGACTCCAGCTGTGCGCACGTGCGAGCCGCGCTGAAAGTCACCGAGTATATCGACCCTTTCTCCACCTTCACTTGCTGGCTTATTTCGGCGTCGTTTCCTAGCCTCACCGCGTGTCTACCTTGCGGTACGATGAGGATCATCCCACCCTGTTTCTGCCCGGATTCGACAAGCTCGACGGTGCCGTTTGCTTTCCAGCTTGGGATCCCGACAGTCCCGTCTACGGCACCGTCGTTTGAAAAGCCGCCTGATGGGGTCAGTTCAAAATCTCCGTTTGGCACCGGCCCTGCAATAAACGACATTGGTTTAGAAATGTAGGTTACTCATTCAGGCCACATTCCTTAACAATGTGTTTTGTGCAAAAGCACATAAGCAATTGACGCTAACATTTTATTCGAACGAAATAAAATTTAAGCACGTAGCTACGTTCGATAGAAATAATTATAAGCAAAGCAAATCTTAATTCTAAATACGTTTTTTGGTGCTTTCTGTTGATCTCAGAATGCACTTCAAGTGTCAAATTTTATTAAAAAAAAATTATTCACGAGCTAAAAGAAGTACGAGAAGGTGCTTTTTACATAAGAAATCGAACTTCTAAATCGATAGCCTTTCCTTTCCCAAACCGATACAAGAAAGAGATATCAAGAAGTGTTTTACCACATTAATCTTGCGTTAACCTAAAAAAGCCAAGTATGTTATTGTCCTAAAGCCAACTCATGGTCCTAGAAAAGGCTGAAATTCTTTTGCCTTGGCCTTTCTCTCACATCAAAAATGGGGACCGCATTATAAAAAAAAAGGGCAAATGCCTTTAATTATTATAATAATGATGACCCCGCTCCTCACGGATTGAGGAGAAATTCCACCTCACAATATTTTGTGAATTATTCATAAAATTCGTGTTTATGATCAGAATCGTTTACATTATAAAATATAGTGTAAAGATAATTTTTACAAAATTAATTAAAATAAGATCGTTTAGCCATTGAATTGTATAACAACAAATAGACAAATTTGGCAGAAGCATATAACGAAACCTCTATCTATTTGTTACAATTGATTGACTAACGATCAAAAATTATCTTTACGTATTGATTCATAATATAAACAATTATAAACATAAACACGAAACTTTATGAATAAGTTACAAAATATTTTGATCAGAAATTCCTACTCAACCTTAACCTTTTCTCAATTGTAGTTACCCATCGCATGGCCCATGAGTTTATGATTCCATGGTCAAAAATTGGTCTTTCCAGATCTCAAATGTGAAACAAAAATACAACAAAACAGTCGGATTTTCTTCTATCACGACATGACACCGAGGACCCTGCCCACTCCAAGACAAAATTGTGTCGGCTAGTGATATTTTCGCCCTTTGTGAAATTAATAACATCACAAGTTGAGAAAAATCAGAAAAATGTCAGTCTCAAAGGTGTTGTTTTCAAATCCAAAAATATTTAAAATGTTTTCGGCAATAAATTGACGTTTTTTTTTTTCCAGCTTTTTTGTCTTCAATTTTGTGCCGCTACAATTTCCCAATTCACCAGAGAAAGCAGAAGATCTATCCAAGTTCCAATCTCTTTGAGACGCTCAGCAAATCCTCTGGATAGCCTTATCCATTCATGGGCCTCAAATGTTGGGAAGCCCACAATAATATCATCTTTTCTTCCCAATGCGGATAGATTAAGTCGGTTAGATTTGACTCCGCGCACAAGCATTCGGCTTCCACCCTCTTTGCCAATTATTTAAAAGTAATTTAAAATATCTATTTATAAGAAGGAAAAAAAGAAAAAAAATGGTAAAAAAAAATATGGAGAGAAAGGAAAAATCTTTGAGTTGAACGCGTGGACCCTACAAAAGGACCTTATTTTTAAGTACACCACCAAACACCATTTGGGGTGGTGATCCGAAAGGACAGCTGTAAATTGTTTATATGGAAAGAGACAGATCCCTTCCTTCGTATCAGGTGATCCGAACCTTTAAAAGTTGATCCGACAGTTCTTGAAATTCGGATCCTTAAAAGTTATAATAATTTTTAACTATTTGATCAAATTTCAAAGATCCGAATCATTTGATTCTTGAATTGTGGAGAAAGAGATTGTTTATAAGAAAACCTAATGAAAATAAATAAGTTTTAATGATAATGATAAAATAAAGTTAAAATAAATAGTACTAATATTGATTTTTTAGTGTTAAAATATGATTTTTTTTTTTTTGTTAAAATAAATAATACCGGAGTTTTAAACTTCCCTTGTTTACAGGGTCAGTGACCTTTACGGAAAGGGACTTTGTCCTCTTGATTAGGTAAGGGAGGGGGGCGGGGGGGAGAAAACGT